GCCGTATCCAACCTACTTTGATCCCAAAGGGGCCGGATCAGAAAACTCATGGCATATATACCCCAAAAATAGCAATGAGTTCAAATATTTGTGCAGGGAAATGCAAATATATTACAGAAATCTTTTTTAATTGATGAACTCTTTCTTTTACAAAATATTATAATATTATGAACAACCTCAAACTTTAAGAAAAATGCAATTTCAACACAATATTTTAACATTAACTTGTATGCAAATAGAAATAAGTAAATTTTTCTTGGAAAATCCTGCACTCGGTGTCCACTTTCTCATTTTTGACATTTTGCTGAAAAGAGTGTCATGGTCAACAGTTAAAACAATAGTCCTGTAAGAGCATTTGGAAAGAGGCAAGTCATCATTTGTGCTGCTCTGGTGGGAGGGGCCACGTACAGAGGCACTGGAGACGCTGCTATGCTAAGCGATGCAGAAAATTACCAATATTTTAACAGAAAATATAATTAAAATATTTTAGTAGAAAATCTGCCAAGGACCAGAATAAAGGTCTTGGAGGGCCGGATCCGGCCCCCAGGCCATATGTTTGACACCCCTGGTGTAGCTGAAGACATTACAATCTGTGTTGGCAACGATTCCCAAGATCCAGGATTTAAAACCAGAACAAAGAGAAAGTTTGGTGAAGTTTATCAAGGGGAAAGACGCTATTGCCCTTCTTCCTATGGGATTTGGGATTTTAAAAAAGTACCCGCCTACTGTCAAGTGAACAAATCCTAATGCTGCGAGGTCAGCCAGTTGTGAAACTGGCTGATGAATCAGGCTAGGCTAGAGCTGCAGCTGGCTGAAAAAAAGAAATAAAAAATCACTATTGATCAATTATGATTTTCAATTCAAATTAATTTCCATCCATTTTCTTCTGCTTTACCCAGGGCTGGGTCACAGAGGTCAGAGTCTTTCAAACCTAATTTCATGAACACGAACACAAACAAAATAAGGTTGGCTGTTTGAATCCCGCTCTCTACATCAACATCATTAGTTGAGTGGTCAGATCCACTGACCCACAGGTTGGCCATGTGATTCCAGCATCTACATGAATGTTATTGTTGTGTCCTTGGACAAGAGACTAAGCCCCTGTGCCCCCAGTGTCTGCGTACACTGGTGTATGAATGTGTGTGTGAATGGGTGAGTGGTTCCTTGATGTGAAGGCCTTTGAGTGCCCTGAAGGTGGGAAAGCTCTATATAAAAATATGACTATAACATAAAAAGTCCAATTTGAGTCCAATGTCTGAACACTGCTCCAGAACACATTTGACTACTGGCTGGAAACCTCTCAGTCATCAATCATTGACGATTTGAAACAACTGGACCTTGATTAAAATTTTATCAGCTGCTCAGCTCTAACTGGAACTCAAATTTGGCAGGCTTGTTTTTTTATTAAAATGTGCATCAGACTATGTGTTTTATTGTCTCACCTCAGAATTCTGGCTGACTGGTTTCAAATCGATGGATGTTAGTATCTTTCCACGTTTCCTCCCTTGGGAAATCAAACTAATATCGATAGGAATAATTATCATAAAAAAGAAATCACCTTGTAAGACATGGCTGACAAAACCAGAGAAAATGAAAAAGAAAATCCACATCACACCTTTTTAAACAATGTCACTGTAACTAGCCTCAAACACATTCACATTAGCATACGGACCCCATCTTTTTAAACAGCATTCTTCCACTATTCCATTTTTCATATAGAAATTACTTCCTTTGCTGTCAGTTCCAAACCTAAACAATCAACCTCTGTTTTAACCTTTCTGTCAATCAAATAGCATTTTATTTCTTCGCATTTTTTTCAATCCCCCCTGGAAATCAGACTCAAATCAACCCCCTTTCCCAGAACATAAAAACACCTACAGCAGCACACCAGGCTATAACACTGTAGAAGATCTTATTGATCGAAAGCATATACATCACAGTCCTATCATAAATATACCTTTGTAAGAGCCATATCTGGAGACTGTACTGTAGTGAGCTATAGGCCCTGACCCTTATCTCTCTATGAGTCAGACACAGGGCAGCAGTGATGGGGAAATGATTAAGCCATGGTTGACCTGCTGTGCATGAAACTTTAATGAGGACCAATAATGATATCAGAATTTATAAGTACACACCAAGTCGTGATTCTCAAGAGGGACCAGCAGCTGTCAGTGCAAGATGAAGTGCCCCAAATGAGACTGAGAAATACATGACGCAACACTGATGAAGTACATATGGGTGTTAAGAATAAATAAAGGAATGACTTTATGAAGTAAATATAAAATGGGTGTTAGGATGTGACAGGACTGGACAGTTTCAAGAAAGTTAAGTTCGCAAAATTTCTTCATTTCCAATAATTAAAGGGCCCATATTATGCTACTTTCTGATTTATATTTTTTCCTCATCACAAACATACTGGGAGTTGTGTTTTGTTTTATTCACACATATTTAACACATAAACCCTGTGTATTTAGGCTGAGTTCTTCTCTCAAACAGAAAATACTCTGTTCCACCTTGTGATGTTATGTGGTAATACAGGATGTGCTCCGCTGTGTTTTTAAACTCCATAGACCTTCACTAAAATCATTTGGATAATTTCAGGCAAAATATAGCTTGAAATACCACTACATGACATCACAAGGTGGAACAGAGTATTTTGATCTTTGGAGATGTAGACAGCCTAATATTACAGGGTTAACAAACATGTGTGAATGAAACAAAACACAACTATAGATATGTTTTGATGAGGTAACACATTCTAACATGATTTAAAGCTCAAATGATTTTTGCATAACATAGGACCTAAGATAGCGGCCGAAGTAGAACTAGCACCCATTAGCTCATAATAATAGTCAAGGTTAGGGTTAGGGTTAGTTTAGTCAAGTGTCTTGCTAAACAGTATGTAGTGAGCTGGAAATTTCTGGTTATAAGAAGACTGCTCTGCCTGAGGCTAATTTCATAACGGTTGTGAATTTTTCACAGAATTCACAACTGTCATCTAAAATGAGCCAAACTGTAGACCCTAATTCTGTGGTTAAATTGCATAGAATGGAAGATAGCATCTTCCTCCATACATTACATAACATTTGATCTGCTCAGGTGGCTAGACTGATAAAAAGGAATTAGTGTGCAATCTAAGTTATACCTTATATAAGTTATACTTTGTGTTAGTGGTATTGTAATACTATATCACCATGGAGACAGGCAGGCGGCAGATACTCAACCATGAAATTTACATAGTGCGTCTTTAACGTACAATTGATATTTCTATTTATGCATTACCTTTTTTTCTTACTAGACTTGTTTATGTAAATTGTTGTAAATTTAACTGTAGCATCACAAGAGCTATTGCCTGCACTGACACACTTATCTAACTCACATTCAATTTCTGTCCATACAGTTTAATATGAAATACAAGCTTGTAACTCTATTTATATTAGGCTGCAACTTTTCCTCTCTCCAATACTCCCAGAGGACTCACTTCAATTACAGTTTGATTTAGTAACTCAACAAATTCACTGGTCTCAAAGGGATTCACAGTTTTCCAGTGCACCACTTTCTTTGCCAACAGTGGCTCTAGTCCCAGATCTGACTCAGCCTGTTAAACTGCTCTGGGCTCTCTACCAATTATAATGGCAATGAGTTTAGATGTTTAAGTGATAGGCCACTGACAGTTCACAGGGGGAGTTCCTCAGCTTTAAGAGCAAAATTACTCCCCCTAGTGGCCATAGTGTATAGATTTGTTTGTGCAAGGACAGTCTCAAGTATTTGGGGACAAGGTATGTTGTTTTGAGCATACTAAAAACTGTATTCATTACATTAAAAATCTACTTTTGATGCAAATAATTTTTTCCATTTGTGATTTAGTCATACAATATGTTAGAAAAAATTGAATGGTCTTATATTATACAAATTTGATTGTTGTGATCTTTTGTTCTTGAACAAAATCTACCTGGAGTTTCATTTCACTCACAGATGTTTGAGTAACCTTTTATTATTAGCCTGTTTACATCACTAAAGATCAAAATACTCCACCTTGTGATGTTATGCAGTGGTAGTTTCCAAGTGTAAAGCTACTTTTGACCTTTAGTTCAGTAGAGATTAGAAATTCTGGGGTGAAATAATGTAAATGATTCTAGTGAAAGTGTATAGAGTTTAAAAACACAGTGGCACACTTTCTGTATTACCACATGATATCAGAAGGTGCAAATTCAGTTTGAGACAAGAACTCAATCTAAATATGTAGTATTTGTGTGTTAAATGAAACAAAACTAAACTCTTGGTATGTTTGTGATGAGGAAACAGATCAGAAAATAGCACAATATGGGCCATTTTAAAAAAACATCTTACATTAATAAAACTTAAACTGATCATTTTGTCTTGCCCCACTGTCCAAGAGGATGGTGAAATTGTGTGGGTGAGAGCATTTCTTCAGATCACATCCACATTAAAGAGGTACAGAAAATCCCTATTCTTGTGTCTCCTTCCTGCAGGATTAAAAAGAATCAAGTGGGATATTGCCTGATTGTTCCATTTTCAATATGGCTCTTTTGTTGTGGCTGCAAATTTGGCATTTGTACATTTGTGACTGAAATCTCTACTAATACCTTATGTTGACACAAACTGAGCTCAGCAGCCCCACCCACTTCAAACCCTTCAGCTTCTAAAAGTAAATAATACCTCTAATAGTAACTTTAGTAACTCAGTGGCTTTCCTAATTTAAGAAACAGATTTTAAATAAGATTCTAAGCCCTGTGGTCATTAGTTACCACATAGCTGATTAGCCCCATGCACGCTTTCAAAATCTGGATTTTTTCAAAACAATTGTATTCTTTTGTTTTTCAAAAAAACAATAGAAAAATAAATGTGAAATCTCCTTGACCTCGTGGTGGGAAGTCACTGTTGACCTTTATAAGGCAGTTTTGAAACCACAAGTTCCAATGTGGTACTGGCCAGACCTACTGACTAAAATGAATAATGACAACATCTGACAACACAGATAAAGCATAAAAAAGAAGATTCCATTATCTTTTTTTAATCAAGTACACCATAAAATGCTACTATAAACAAAGGTAAAAAACTTGACATTACAAAGGAAGTCTTGTGTGAGTCTTATAATATCAGAAAATTTGAATTCCACTTTCAGTCACAAACTACTCAATCCATAGTATTTCAAATCGTGTTGTATTCGCATAGTCTTTAGAGTCCACATTCTGTACCTACATTGCTGTGTGTGTATGCTGTGAGGCAGGCGAAGGGGACCCGGTCGTGGGGGTAGATGTGAGTGCGGAGGGGGTGGGCTGAGTTGGGGCAGAGGAGGTGGGGGTGGTGGAGGGGGCGGGAGGGGCAGAGCTGGTGGGCACGGGGGCAGTAGAAGCAGCGGCAGGAGCTGAGGCCGAGGGTTCCACTTTACTGCTGTGGGTGATGAAGCGAAGGCGGAGTTTCATGGCCGGCCGGAGGGTCATGATGATCTGATCCACCTGGACAGATAAGAAATAGGAACGTTAGTGCACAGAGAGCAGGTGGGCTATACGCCAATAATATCTAATACAGGCAGGGTGCAGAATCAGAACTTATTTGTCATTTCAGTATAAAAAACACAGAAACAAAACACTGTACTCAGGTCCAGGTTATCAGCGGCATAAAAACAAAGTAATAAATGATTTAAATATTGAACATCAAAATGAGTGCAGTTTTTAACACAACCCCCACCCATCCTTATTTTCTAAAGTGCTGCTTAGTTAGGACTAGCCAAATTAGGGCACTTCTAAATCATATTGTTCAAATGCTGTTTTGCTTAAATACAGTGGGTTTGTGGGTCTAGTCACTGATACAATGCACTGATCTGGTTCAACATATGTGAACTTCTGGTTATTTCATAGGAAAATACAATGTCATGAATAGAGAAAACTGGCTCTTACTCCCCATCTGGGAAAATTACATATTTTTCCCTTTCTACAGGCTCCCATTGCATTGGTATTGCATATTATTTCCATTGTCATTTTTCCTATTCTCTGTGCAGGATTACGTAGGCGCTGGTAATAGTATGTAAATTGGGTGTAGCAATATATATACAGGAGAAAAGACATTCAGTGCACTCAGTAGTGGATTGAGTTCAATTTACTCACACAACTGCAAAGAAATGTACGTGACACACCCTTTCCTAATAAAAGCATTTGCCATGGTACGTACATCTATCAATAATACTGTTACTAAATATACTGTTCAAAATTCATAAAAGCATTTTATGGCAATGACTACAAAAACAATTCAGTTACTTTATGGAACTGAAAAAGTTAAAGCATTATAGTCTCAATATGTCAATGTAGAAATGTATCTATGCATGGGATAAATGGGAAAACTGTAATTTCAGTATCATTGCAAATGATGTAAATATCCTTGTTTAGCCAAATAATAACCCATTAATAAAAACACAGAAGATGCAAAAGATCCTTTTTTCTCTCTTTTTTTGAATTTGATTTCTAATTAGATGAATGTCAGCATTATAGGTCTCACCTGCTCCTTAACACTGTCTCCTGTGTACATGTATTTGATGTGATACAGGAAGTCACAGATGGGGTCCATGTAGCTGAGGTGCTGGCAGTGCTGATCCACAGCCTGGAGCATCTCATAGAAGGCCACCCCGATCTGACACAGAAGTGTTATTAGACAAATACACATTTAAACATTATGTAAAACTATGTCCTGCATTTGAATTAAGTGAAAAGTTTTTACCTCCAGCATACAGCGTGTCCTCTCCTGTTGGAAGCGCTGCAGAAATGGACCCACCAAATGGTACACGTAAAGCAGCTGGAACTCAGTCTGTACTATGGGCTTTAGAGTCTCAGACAGGAACCTATAGCAACATTTAAGAGCATTTTCAGATAACTTAAATGGCATGTAGAAAAAACACTTCAAGTAGGCTGTGCTGACAGAAAAAAAATTGCTGAGTACATTGACGGGTTAAAAATAATGTGAAATGTATTTGTACTCTGGTGTTTAAAGTTAAAGTTTTAAATCTTACATTTTAGTAATAAACCAGGACTAGTGACGTTGGTATTAAAATGGGCTCAAACCAGGTCCAAAAAGTGAACACACCCAAAGTAAAAGGCATTTAGAAAAAGGCCCACACCACAGATTCCTCTGTTAATAAGCAAACACTGAGTTACCCCCTATATAGCTGGGAAATAAAAAAAATAATTAAAAAAAAAAAAAGCAAAATTTTAATATTGAGTATATATTTTATAGGAAGTGATTTTGATTGCAAGGTATTCCTATTATTCTTATTGATATTCATATTCATGGGTTTCAGAAAAACAATTCCTTCCTTCGTAAAGACTTGGTGAGGACCTTTCCCCATTCAAAAGATATAATAATTTCATTTGAACTGAACTGCTTAATTGCTATGACCACAGGGGATGGTTGACATAGCTTAAAACCCATCAATACTTTTGTGGATTATTCTAGTCCATAGAGTTTTTGTTTGATGCTTTAACTTCAACCACAATTAGAAGAAGATTTCGCACATTTCTAGTAGTTTATCCATATCATCAAGTATTGTAATTGGGTAAAAAAATATATTAATTAATTAATCTTGTCAATATTGCCCAGCCTTAGCGTCCTCCAAAACTGTAAATAAGCTGTGGCACATACTTGGGAATCAGCGATAACTGTCCAATAGACGAGTGGTGCCATACTGCGTGCGCCAAGGCCAGCACATAACTGCAGTTCATCTCGCTGTAACTCTGGTGGCAGGCTGTGAAGTCTAGCAGCGCGAAGGGATAGCCCGCCCACTCCGTCTCCGAAGTCAGCACGGGCGAGCTAATTACAGACACAATACGGTCGTGCAGAACAATCCAGTAGGGCTCCTAGGGACAGATCAGGACATGAGAATGTTAACTGTCTTCAAGGGCGTCATTTGTCAAAGTGTCCATGTTCGTCTCACAGGCAGCGCGGTGATGACAAGGCCAATGGCGTTCATCCAGGCTGTGATGTTCTCCCTGGGCACAGAGGGTTGACTGCAAAAAGAAAATGTAACTGTCATCTTTCAATATAGAAACACTTTATTTTACACTATACTTGATTAAGAGCAATGCAATACATAACCAGGAACATTGCTATTACATGTTGTTACCAGTTGTTAAATGTGCAATATGTAACTTTTCTGCTGGAGAGTCTGTCTGCCACCTGTTTATCTCCATGGAGATGTTATTGTTTTACCTAGAATGTTCCACAGTATGGATAATGTGTTCAATCACTCAATCACTATTGCTCACATACACTGAAAAACATGCATTGATCTGGTACACTTCTGGTTCCACAGATATGACCTGTAACTTGGCCAGTTGGCGCATTCTGCTTGGCTTTTTGGTGGCTGATTAGTTAAATGCCATACTGTGGAACATTCTACGCAAAACAGAAACATCTCCACAGAGCCAATTTGGCAGACACTCCAGCAGAAAAGCTACACATTGCGTCTTTACTGTAGGCTGGTAATAAGTAGAATGTGGATAGTGTAAGTGAACCCAAAAACATGATTAAACTTGTATTGTTTGTAAAGCATCTTTGAGTGTCCAAAAAAAAGCTATATAAGTCTTATGTATTATTATTATTAAATTCTGATCCAGTTTTGAACCTTTTCAGAACAACATTGAGCAGAGCATTCCCCACATCCTTCCCGGGCACGGCCAGAGCCATCAGCTCCACACAGGTGACGTGCAGTGCATGGGCCGCAGGGTTCGGGAACTCATTGAACCTCCAGTCACAGTTTGGAAAGGGCCCTGGGGATTTGCCCGCCATCGGTACAAAGGAGTTAAGGATTTCACAGGCAGAATAAAGTCTTGCAAAAGGACTCAATATTGGAGTTCAAGAAGCTCACAAAGTCTAAAAATGTTGAAGGAAGTTACATTTTCTTCTACATTTTTTACTTTTCCAAAGAAAAATTGGTTCTGTTGCAGATAGTAAAAATTAAATATAGTATGCAACTTAAGGCTGTAAACTAAATTCATAAGAGAAAACAATACTGTTTTACATAACTTTCAAAGGGAGAATAGAAGTTGTCTATTGCACACAATTTATCCATTAAGGGTTGAACATCTGTAATTTTTGGCTTTAAAAGACCCAATAAAGACTGGTCTATTCCACTCGGGTGTAATTAAGTACTTTAAATGCCGCCACAATAAGGTTAATGAAGGATATTGTCCACTAGGCGTCCAATGAGTTTACAGTAGTAAGTGTCGTCTGGGATCCACACATTGTCCTCCCTGGGATTCATGCCAAATTTCAGGTAGGTCTCACTTAAGCACCAACCAGGGGTGCGGTTGTCCTATCACAAAAAAGACAAAAACAATGCAATATAAACTTATGTAAATAAAGACCAGAGCACTGCCAGTGGTTAAAAGAGGATTAGTGTGTGTTTTTAATAAATGTTTTCCTTGTACTTTGAGTGAAGACATGATTGCATGAACCAGCTTTCTCTTCAGGTTTGTCCGGTCTCGCAGATGCCGCTCATAGTAATGAAGGGTGTTGTACAAGTATGTCACAGGACGATCTGTAAACAAACATATAACCCAGTAGTTCCTTGTTTTTAGGTTTGGTTAAAGTTGCACTATGTAAATTTTCCTGCAAGCCACAAGCCATCTGCTTGTCTCCAGTGAGGTTTTATTGCTTTATCCCAGAATGTTGCATGGCACTGAAGTTATCATTTTGCATTTCTTCAAATTACTGTAAATAAATTCCTTGTAAAACATGCATCTTTATTGTGAATGGGGTGACTTCTCCACTGACTTGACCTGTAACTTGGCCTGTTGGTGTCACCTGATGTCACTATGGAGATGACATCCAATAACCATGGAACATTCCAGGTAAAGCAGAATCATCTCCATTGAGACAGACAGCAGAAAAGCTACACAGTGCACCTTTCAAGTATTAGTCTGCCCAGTACAGACTTTGATCTCACCATGAAACTTGTACAAGCCTCCCAGATGATCCAGCAGAGTTTCCAAAGACTTTGAAACAGGGAGAAGCTCCAGGAAGCGGTGGATGACGATGTCAAAAACAGGCAGAAAGCGCAGACACACATTTCCAAAATAGATAGGGAGGTACTGAGACTGCAGTTGCATGGGAGGGTTCACCTGTTCAGCGAGGCCCTCAAAGTACAACTTCTCTGGATATTTCTGGAAAAAATATTAAACCAAATGTGAGAAAAAAATTTAATATTTATGCTTTATCATATGATCTCTATGTCAAAGGGAGACAACTGGGTCAAATCCCACTAAGGAAATAGCAGTCTACTGTTTCATCAAATACTGTAAATTCCTGTATAATTAACATTTATACAGTGACCTCTTTTTGTGTCTAATGTTCTTAGAAATGTGTCAGTAATAAAATATAGTAACCTCAATAAAATAATAAAAGATATAGAAATAAGGAAGGCTAGGTTTGGAGGCGGGGGTCAGGTCTCAACTACATCCTCAGCACATTAAAGTCACTCCAAACTGGTCTTTATTTTCCCTGTAGCCCCATTCCAATCATATTACCCAATTAATTAACAAATAACCGTTGTCTTTTTTTGTATGTTCCTTCCTAATCACTTGTGAAGAGGACACACAGAATACATGCTGTTACTTAATAATATTTTGCAGTTGTAGTCATCAACATTCACTGGGGGTGTGAGGTTAAACTCTGAAAGCACTGCTCTGTTGGAAGCTCAGTTACTCAAGTTAGACTGAATCTGAGCTTTATTTTAACACAGTCGGACCAGAAAGAGCTGACTTAGTTTGAACTACAACAGGTGAACTGATTTGTGCGCTTTAACAAGTCTCTCACACGTAAAATCACTGTCACAAGATAGCTAGCTATTGTATTGTGTTCAGACTAGATTAAATCATTTTGGGCTGTTTTTGGCATATGTGCATTGTGTCACCATGGAAAATGCTGAATCGTCCGCCCCACAAATGCATTATAGAACACCTCCAGCGATGTCAACCAGTGCAGACCTTGTGGTAGCTCATGTGCTTGGTGTGCCAGTCGCTCTGTAGCCAGTGCTCTGGAGCATTCTCTTTGACAAAGTCGCTCACTCGGTTCCTGAAGTCGTTGGGTTTGAGCAGGAGCAGCTGGATGATGAAGTAACAGACCTGGGCTTCATTTCCTTCATGGCTGCGCATCGCCTGTAGACATAGACAAATGACATGTCAACCAGATCTTGACATATAGAGAGCAGAACTACCAGGAAATTACAAGTTATATAAGAGTGTTATATATGGCTTGGGCTGTTACTATATCAACACATAGTTCAATAGTCTTATTTTGAGGTTCAAATGTATTGTATGCTCCCAGTATCTGCACAAGTGGTGTGGTGACCCTTTTCTTAATTTTGTGTTAAGCATTCATATTTTGAACTGTGCTTTTTACTGTGATTATCATGCTTAAGGGTTGGCATAAAGCAAAGGAAAACCAAGTTAATAACCTTTTTAAATGGCCTTTTACTGTTCTGTTATTTTTTATAGTTTTCTGTATCACCTATATTGACCAAGGGACAACAGATGGAAATTGTTATAATCTGGCTTATTTGTCCTGTAACTGTTATGAATATTATAAATAACAAACATGTCTTCAGTGTGATAATTTATTGTAACCTGTGTCATGTGTTTATGTGTCATGCTTCAAATTGTTTTATTGCGTCAACTCAAAAGACATTTTATTCTGTCAAAGTTCACCACTCCAGTTCTGATTGGAGACTGGCGACCCACTGTCTTATATCTGTCTGATGGGAGGAGCTAACTACACTGAAACTACCGCACCTAGTTGTTTACAGTTTCTTTTGTTAGTTAAGTCTATTGAACTGCAAGTGTGAACTGTCCCTGAGTCATATTTTGAATAATCATTTAGGTCCCTAATGGGTGATCTCACACCTATTGGCATAATGGCTTTCCCCTCACTTCTGTTCAGAGAGATTGTGTTTCCAAACAAAAACAGCCTCAATGACTCCTCTCTCATACCACCTTTTCTCTTTGGCTAGGATCTGTATCTGTTTATTTGTTGTGTGGCTTTTTAACTCTGGGCTAGGTATCTATAATAAAGTTAGATGATGATGTACCTCACATCTTCAAAGGAGTGGTTAGTTGCTTTGAGATGCAGATTATTATGGGAGGCCTATATGCAGTAAGAGTGTGTAATACCAAGCAGAGGATGAGTCTGTCCAGGGTAACAATGTTGTACTTCCACACCATGTCATTTAGGATTTCAATGCACTTGTTCAGCTGCTGTCCCCCGGCCGATGTGGAAAACTCATAAACCAGGAAGTCTGCGAAGGTGCGCACGTGAGCCACCAGTGCTCGTGCCCCAATACGCTCCAGAACTCTGAAGATAGAAAAGAAAATAGAGAGATGAACTTCAATAATCTCAAAGGAAATTCAAGGTTGTGAGCAGTTCCCATAATCACCATCATCACACTTCATAGATTCAGCACAAGGAGAGGAACAAACAGCATTCAGCCAAAACACACCACAACATCACCACAGCGACCTCCCCCCGGATCAATTAACTAAACAGATGTTGTTTAGAGAGCGAGGGACATCCCCTCTGGGCCAATTACAGTCATTTAGAGATGCCATAACATCACATGTGAAACTCCTCCTGGCTTCAAAATACTGAAGAAGCAATGCATGACATGTTCCCTAAAGTAATTTCTTTGTACTGTTATTAATATACAAATATATAAATATTTGCCACACAATTAATTAGAGCCATGTACAATGTTTTGATTGTAATTATTAAAATTCATACTAAAAATTGTGCAGTGTGTTTCTTCATTTTTAGTTTGGCCTTTCTCTTCTGCTATGGTGTTTTTACATAATTTGCTAATTGTTATAGTTAAAAATGTTTTATTTATTTAAGGAGCTGTAGCTAATTTTTACTGTCACCAAAATATGAAAAAGGTAGAACATTTTGAACCATCGATTTCTCCAGAGTCTAAACAAGCGGCCATGAAAAAAAAACAACAACATATAAACAGTTCAGAGCGGTCAGATGTTAGGAATGTGTAGGAAAGTGAGGACTTTTCTAATGCATTCCTAGTATTCTAATTTTATGCTAGCTGGCCAAAAGTGCATCAGCGCTCCTTCCTGGTTTGTGGCCATTAAAAATATTTCATAAAACTAATTCTAGTCTTATAAAAAGCAGGTACAGTCCCTTTAATTCATTTGTAGATATGTCCTTTTGTTTACCATTAAATTCAGAACAATTGTGTCCAAGCAGAGTGCATTAACAGACCTGAAGCCTATCTGGTTGATGTGGTCCGTCTCCAACAGCATCTTCCACAGCAGACAGAGGAACAGTGGAGGGGACCCTTGCATTGAGAAGTGTGTGATAATGTCATTCTCATTGGCCATGGACTTCCACTTCCTGTATTCCTCCTCCACATTTTTCTTCAAGTTGAAACGGGACTCCTGGGGCACGTTGTTCTGTTTGAAGAAAGCCTGAAAGAACAAGATCAAAATAAATACCGGGGAATGAAAGAACTGCTAAAGTTGAATTTGTTGTGCTTTTTTGTTTTACCTGTAGAGGAGCAGGGAAGCAGGACAGAGTATGAGAGGCCCAGTTGTGAGGAGTGAAGTCCATTATGGTTTTCAAAATGTCTTTACACCAAGTTCCATGAATAGAATCGGACCCTGTGAAAAAATCTATGAAATGCAATAAAGATGAAGTTTCTATTGGAGGATAAACTAAAGCAAAATTAAAAATTCTCTTTTGTATTGTATGTATTAGAATATTTCTCTCTTGATTATATGCGCCTTTCTTCAATCTCACAAAATTAATATAACGGTACTGTAATACTAAATAGCCGATTTAACTACAGGCATTTTTTGAATTTGAAGTTTGTATATAAGCTATCAGCAAAGGTTGTACTGCCATTTTGTTGAATTACAGAGTGCAGTACAAGTAGCAAATGTGATAATTACCATGCAAGGTCTACAGAATTTGCATACATTTAAATGAATTCTGTTATTGGAAAATCCTACAGTCAACATAAAAAATAAAATAAATCACCTGTCAGTCATATAAGCAGTGCATATACAGTATATTTCTACTGGCCCAGATAGTGGAGTTAGTGATTTGTTTGTGGTTGTAAATCTATACAATAATTCAAGATAGTTGCTGTTACCAGTGACATGAGTAGCCCGGGCAAGAGTGAGGATGAGGGCTCGGTTCAACTCCTCAGACTCAGCGGACAGGACAGTTTTTGGATCATTGAGGAAACGTGTGAACTGGGGCTGCACCTCAGAGCTGCCCAGAGCTGTGATCAACCTCAAGGCTGTGCTCTCAACACTGTAAAAAACATATGGTTCAGGTATTAATGAGGCTGCTCTCCTTAGTGTGTTGTATGATGAATAATGCAGTGTTAGTATAGATGGGACAAGATCTCGTGCCACATCTTGCAAGACAAAACTAACAAAAGATTGTGCCCACATGAGAAAAATTCTCTTGTGAGATTTGCTTCCAAGTGTTAAAAAGGTTAAAGGTGCATTGTGTAGCTTTTCTGGTGGAGGGTCCATCAAATGCTTTTCTCCGTGGTGATGTTATTGCTTTGTCTGGAATGTTTCACAGTATAATTCGTATTTACATATGCCAGACTTAGCATAGTTACAGGTCAGATCTGTGGAGATGCAACACTGCTCGCAGTCAGAATGCTTCCTGTAATTGAATAAATGTAAGGCCGAGTCTGTTTAATGTCTCTGTGGAACATTGCAGGCATAACAATGACATATCCATAGAAACAAGCACAGGCAGACCCCCAACCAAAAAGTTACACAGTGCACCTCTTGAGAAACTATTTCCAAAAAAGCACTGATACAGTGATGACAAAATATTAAATAAAGTAAATTCAAAAAAAGCAATGCCAAAATTGTGAACTAAACAGCACAACTTATTATAATAATATAATAAATCCAAAATCTCGTCTTGGAAAATGTGTCTCGTCCCACCCACAGTGTTAGTATTGGCTTTACCATAGATGCAGTTGGTTCTGGTTGGTCTGTGGTACTGCTGCCAGGCTGTGGAGGTGGCTCAGCAGCTGGACTCTGTAGTGTGGTTGGATGTGGTGCATTCTGTAGCTGAACATCTCCAATAAAGTGTGAAGGATGCCCCAGGCGTGAGACTTGAATACATTAGGAAGTAACTGGCCTGCACAGATAGAATGCAATTACACACTTTATGCCCCAAGTAAACTAATATGTAGTAAAATGTTACAAATAACAATTTAAATCACTGTTTATATGCAGTTGTAAAGATTTCTGATGGCTGTGGTTTAGGTGAATGTACCATAGTGATAGAAATAATTTGAAAAGCTAGTCTAATGCTGCCTGCAATACATACATCTTCATCTTAATGTATGGCAGCATGTTAAAAACCACAAATAATAACTGAAACCTGACCTGTCATGATAACAAATTTTGAAGTACGATATATTGTTGAAGAAAATATAAACAATAATGTTCAAAATAATGTATAAAACTCAAACAATAACCCTTAAATAAAAACTATTCTAAATATAAAATGGTAAAAAAAAACATGAGCTGCAATAATAATAAATAGCAGAATTAAACACTTTAGAACTTAGTTTGCATCTATAGTGAGTAATAGAAGTTATTTATTCGACTCTTCACAGCTCAAGTCTTATTGTAATAAGACTACAGAAAGCTCCCCCACTTGTATTAAGAAAAAGTCCCCACAATAACTATAGACCCCCTAAAATTATTGCTCCATCTTTCATATATTAAACGATAAGTCTATATAGAAATTATGGTGACAGGGCTAACTGAAAGCACTCACTGATGAATCCTTTGATGCCCAGTGACTCGATCTCCATATAAACCAACAGTCTGCTGTAGGTCTCGACCAGCGCAGGAGCCAGGGCCACACTCGATTTCGCCTGAGCCAGTTTGATTACTCGTGTTGCAATGCTATGAATCAAACTAAAGGAAAGCAAAAAATATTTAGACCCAAATTTGAAAACAGTACATACACTGGTTTTATAACTATCTTGCATACCTCATCTTTGCATGAACAGTGAGAGAGTCCAGCAGGTGCATGGGCAGTGGGGTGACAGATCCAGATGCCAGGCACTTGGTTCCAGGCAGGTTGATCGGCATAGCGGCATTTCCATAGATGGTCTCCACCAGGACCCCCATTGGCAGGGTGAAGCACTCGGAGTTTGTGCTATAGGCGTTACACAACAGAGCTATCTTGTAGTCAGACATACCCAGGGTTTTGTTACGGAGGGACTGCTGGAGGAACCTATAAACAAGGGAAAAATGTATATATATTTTAACTTTGAAAGCAAAATTTTACATTAAAATTAATCTCTGTTCCAGCCAGGTCACTGTGTATTAATGCATAATACTTCATAATTTATTTATTTATTTATTTAATGGGTAAAATGAAAAAAATATATATAGCTATTGGACACTGTGGTGCTAATTTGGAACAATTTTAGTGTATTTATTTGACACCTTTCAAGTAAAAAAGCACATAACTTTTCATCTACAGTGGAGTATAGTCAGTGAAAGTTATATGTAGGATCAACCATTGTCCAAAATGAGATGCCCAGATTCAAACTTCAACTAGAAAGTAAGAGGAAGAAGCACCAATTGTATGTAAGAAAAAAAAAAAGAAAAACAAACAAAACAGTTTTTCTTGGAGACATACTCGTGGTGTAGTTTCAGAGAGTGTGGGATGGGAATCTGTTGTTTGGAGTTGTCGCTCTGAGCCTTTTTATTCAGATGGATCCAAATGCATGTCATTGCAAAAGAATGAGTCGACTGAGGCTTGTTGATGTCAGGAACAGGGATGCACTAAAATCAAAAAGTACAAAAAACACATTTAGTATCATATATTTCCCCTCCATATTAACACCAGTAATCTTTAGTGAATGATATAATGGTTACCTCTTTTTCAGGGTATAACAGATCAAACAGCTTCATGACAGGTAAGAAATCGGCCAAGGCGTTTTTCTGGATGCTGCCGGATATAAACTGCAGCAGCACCCACATGAGATGATCCCTCCCTTTGATGAGGCCTCTACCTGCAAGCTACACACACATCACAACTTAAGTCAGAACTGCTAAGAAACTAAAAAGTAGGGCTGTATGATTTTTGAAAAAAAAACAGAATCTGGATTTTTTTTTTTATTACAATACAATTTCTGATCTATGTTTCAAAAGTAGGATTTCAACTTTTCATAACTGATTTTCCACAGTTCTCTCTTTTATTGCAATTATCCACTTTTCTTACCTTCTGATGCAATGACAAGACCATATGTGGGAAGCTAGCGAACTGAAACAGCACAAAGAAGATGAGTTGGGAGGAGAGGTGTTGCCATAGCAGCTGACTGGTCCCTCCGATGTCTGCATCAAAGTGCTCTTCTGTTTCGGACCGCTCCATGGCATACACCACCAGGTCAACCAGCTGCTCCTCCAGCACAGGACAGCGCTGCTTATGCTGGGAACAAGGGAAGTGTTATGGGGCAAAGAAATATAAAGGGAGTCCAATTAAAAACGAACTGAGACACAAGCAAAAAAGTGTTAAAAAACAAAGAATTCAAAATCTTTCGTTTCTCCAATATTTTAAATTTGGTGTCTGTAAAATTGCGTTCACAGTATTATTACAGTCAGCAGTTAATACATTCAAAGTAAGCATAAAAAAGCCAATTATTAAGTAAAAATATAACAGAGCACTGCTTTAACTTGTGTTGTCACAATACAAACATTTCAAACTCGATTTCGATACTAAGGAATTCCAATACCACAATGATAATTATAATAGAACAATAGACAATAGAATTTGATTTTCAATCTTAAATAATAGTACTTCCTTTTATATTACCATGCAGTCTTATATTTCTGTAATCCCGGTATAGTGGTCCATAGGTGTAAACTAGTCTATGTGCCCTTCTACTTGTTCTGATACAGCTCAAGATCATTGTAAAGCTATACAAGAAAGGTTCAGAAGTATTGAAAATCTGATACTAATCGACACTTAAACTAGTATTGACAGCACAATAAGTAGTAACACCACAACAAGCAGATGAATACTGCATCAGTTAGTAAAACCAGCACAGAAAACACACACAAGGCTCACACATGCAGGGTTTAGTGATAGAGTGAACAATTGGGGCCTTTAGGGACAATCATGCTTTCAAAAGTTGTGAGTAGAATGTAGAGTAGAAACAGACAGAGAAATAGAAAATAGCGAAGATATGAAATGATAACTAGAAAGCAGGCCCAAAGGATTCCTCTTTGTCGTAACAAAATATTTTCATTACTTTATCGCAGTAATGAAAATCTATATCAGAGGGCCAGCTATATTGCAGCAAAATAGCCAATGGGTTAAACTTTACAATTTAGTCAACACATGTAACTGTGTCAATATTTAAAAAGGCTCCTTGAGGCCTCTTTTTTCAATGCGCAACATCAACTGATCATCACACAATACAGGTCAAAGTTCACTCATCCAGTCACATAACCATTAAGAAACAACTTCCAACCTGGGCAAAATACACACACAGCTCTTAATCTCACAAGTGACGCATCAATGAAATATTTCCATATTTGCAAACTATGTTTGAATTATCTAAAATATGGTGACAGAAACAGGAAACAGCTTCAAAAAATATATCGGATTACTATGAAGGAAGTCAAAAAAAGGAAATGGAGTACAAAGGCTTCAGTATAAAAGAAAAGGTAAACAGCTCCATAGTTTTAGTAGTTTTATCAACGTTTAGCAGAAATGTACAAAATATGGCTGTGGGATCTTCTCTTATTGTGTAGTTTTGCCCAGGTTTGCTCCACAAACAGCCTCAGGTCAGAGACCAGAGGACCGACAGGCACAGACTACATCCACACATGCAGCGCAGCAAAGCTTGATGTCTCACCAGCAGGGTGCCCAAGAAAAGTCAGTACAAAATACTCTAAATTTAAGTTAGCATTAGCTTACGCTCATTTGAAATGAATTAATATGTTCATATATGTTCATCAAGTGTGCGATTGTGGAGTTGTGATGTCAGGCTTTGGTTATTTGTGTTGTTGATGTTGTGTAAATAATTTTCTTGCTTGAAAAAATGTTGAATACTTCCTGTATCTGTCTTTGATTATTTCCCCACTGTGACCACATTAAGCTCTGTGCCATTTTGCATTTTTTTAATTTAAGGGCTCTTTTTGCTGACTGGATTCTCATGGGATTAAGTTGCCAAAAAAAAAAAAAAAAAAAAGCGTCCAATGAGCTGGTTAGCTGCAGGTCATGTGACCAGAAAGAGGAACAATAACAACATACCTGGGCAATGTTCAGAGTCTATAGAACGCATTGTAGAGACCGACACAACGCAAAACCAGAGAGGAAAGGTAGAAGAAGACAGAGGAAAAATGCAAGACAGAACAGAGAGGGAGAAAAGAGACAGAAAGAAAGCAGTGACTAGGGAGCTAGACAGTACACTGTTTGTTCAGCATCACTTCAGACAACTTTGGTTAAAAATATATGCATGTTTTAGTTTTGTTAATAGTGGTCATTTACTTTTTTCAATACCAATCGCTGTGCTGAAGTGAAATGGCATGAACTGAACAGAGTAAACTAACACCAGTGCATCATGGGACACGCTCACAGCATTGTCTTAATTTATAGATAATCTTTAACCCTGTGGAGGATAAAGGGCAGGGAATAGTGGAAACTGAACTGAATATATATCTATAAAGAAAACACAAAATAAATATCAAAATAAAGATGAAACTGAGGAAACTGCGAAGTAGGAAAGTGAAGGTTCATACATGACAGTGTGGGGATCTGGAAGGATATGGAGAAAAAACTTTTCACCATTAGTATAAATTACCTGTTTATTGAGACCTAACATGTTGCAGACCATCTCCCTTGAATAAGGCTGCTCTAAAACGTATCGCAGCAAACCTGTCTGTGGTTCAAACAGGTCCTGGAAATATTGAGACATCAACATTAGCATCACTTCTGTTTTTCATCTGTACATTAATTATTACCATATATTATAAGAAAGAGTTAGTTTATTTGCATCATACCTTATCATATGGCAGCATGCCTCTCAGAGGAAAGCGCAGAGTTGTGGTGTCTAACTTCCAGGAGTTACAGATGGCACCACTGTTATTTACAACAGGCAACAAGCTGCAGCGACCTGGAAAAAAAATCCATCTCTTTCTTTAGAATTTGAAAAATCAAACCATGACAATGCGCTATACAAAGCAATCACAATTACATTAAGAGAAAATGTGTTAAATTTCTCTTACCACAGATTGAGTTGATTCTGGCTGTAGGCCTAAAACTATCCACAAAGTCTGATATAAGACTGCCCAGAAGCTTAGGAAAATGAAGAAAGGTGGGTAAGTAACATAAATTGGAACAGAGTGGTAAAACTGCAAAAAAGTATTTACTAACTGGGAAGAAACACTTACCCAGTGTGACAAATGGCCTTCTGGATAAAGCTTTCTAATTTCAGTTATGGCAAAATAAGCAGGCAATAGACATGCATTTCTGTCCAAAATGTACTCTACTACCTGCGATACAAAAACAAGACATTTTGAAAAAGCTTTGAATGGTAAATAAATTAGTCCAGAGTGTAAAACAACAATTACCTCTCTCGCAGCCAATAACTGCTGCACTATAGCTGAGCTCACAGTGGTAGGAATTGTTTGGATTTTATCCAACACAGCTTTCAATAGGTCCCGAACACCCTGTGCAAAATCAAAATCATCAGTCTAGTTATGTCAAATAAAAAAATATCAATTTTGAATTATTTAAGACATTTATTAAGATCACGGTGTCAGTTTTATTGGCATTTTATGAGTAACAGTTATTTATGTAAATACATAATAAAATAAAAATAATCTGGTACCTTATAGTCCACTCCACCAATGATCTTTCGGATCAGTTTGAAGGTTAACGCCCACAACTGCGTCCTCTCCCACTCCAGTGTGTCTGAGCTTATAAGGGCTACGCAAACCATCCTAGATAATAATTACAGACGTAGCACCAATAAAAAATTTAATTCCATAACTTGTTTCAAAAATGACCATTATGTAACCTTATTATGGTCTTTTTTTTTTACCTTGGTGTTAAGAGGCTGGTCTCCACAGCCATGGCAAGGCAGTCATAGAGGAAGGCAATTCTTTTGGGACTGTGTTGGCTGTGTATAAACCTCACAACCCACTGCACACACTGCTCATGTGATTCCTGTAGATGAGTACAATACACACATGTATACATTATACACAGTTTAATAAATCTAATAGCCGAATAGTGCATTTATTTTTGAGTCTCACCTGTGGTAAAGTTCCCCAGTACTGTCGAAAGGCACCAAGACAACTGATCAGTTTGGTTCTCTCATCCTCTGGTGTGTCCATAAACATGCTAAAACAGAATGCACTTAACGAGACTGAACATAATAATAATATGAGTGATAATAAGAATTCGCTTGACTTACCCAGCAAAGGCTTCTTCTATCATCTCAGTTTTCTGCAAAAAAAAAAAAAAACACAAAACAAAACATATATTTACTTAGCTTAGAGCAACATCACGCTTACAGGTTTGTATGTTATTGCATTAATAAGCAAAGAAGCCTAAGCCATATGGCATAGAAATATACATGTTGTAATTAATACTTATAGTTTCGATGTGCAATAATATCGTCATTGCGTCTTGCAAGTTAGCTTTTAAGATATCTTATAAATGCATTTATACCACAACATCTTCAAAAATGCTCTGAAGCTGTGTTTCCATCGAGAGTGCCATGTTTTCCGGTGTAAATGTATTCTATTTTGAATTCAGCATAACAAATATTGTAGGCATTTTATTTATAAGCGCTTCGATGCTAACTGCTAGCTTTTAGGCACCGGAAGTCACAATCAGTGTCTCCGCAAAAACAATCCGTCAGGAAAATACCACAACATATAGATCCGTTTTTTTTGTTTTCTTTTTTTTTCTTTTTTCAGCAAATCGCACAAACTCCATGGTGCGTGCGCTATATGTCGGTGTGATTTTATTCCATAAGTTTGTCTGTTTTCTTTTAAATACAGAAAGTTTAAGACTGGGCAGGATTCATGAGTTGGGGATCGGGCCAAAACATATGAAAATCCATTTGTGAAAAGCCTTAAATGTGTGTTAACTATGGGTTGCATATGTGATGGGCAACTTCGTCTCCAAAGAATATTCTTTGGAAACGAAGTTGCCCATCACATGCAACCCATGTGTTGTAAATTTAACCTTAAAGAAATGTATTTGTTCTCGACTGGTGAGTTCTTCTTTGCAAAATAAACTGTACAATTCAATAACAGTTCACTGTAAAGGGTTAATTAAAATAGCATTAGGTCTGCGCAAACTTGGCCACACCGTTGTTACAGCATGTGCACAAACAAGTGAGGTTACATTCCTCTCTCAAGGAACCTGAGTAATTTAACCAGTAACATAACCTGTGACCGCCTCCTAGACGCGTATTTCCTCTTTTTCTAGGCCGCCTTTCCTGAGGCCGCCACCTGCACCTGTCTCTACCCCACCGGCAAATTATCCACCTCTGCGCTATTGCCACGGAGACCTGGGGCAAGTGAACACGCACTGAGATGTTTACGAAGGACTTTCACACAAAAATATGAGAGCATCTGAAAAACATGTGGATCACTCTGTTTCTTGTGCTTGTTTTTTGTACAGGTACGTTATTGCCTATATATCTGTTTTAAAGACACTCTTTTATTTCAACTTACAGAGTTATATCATATTTAAATAGCCAGATTAAAGTGCGCATGACAGGTATGAATGCTTCTCTAATTTTGGTACAATAATACATTTTAATTAATTTGGTGCAATAATACATTTTACCCGAACCACTTTGCAAAGGAATGTTGAGAAATCTGCTGAAAATTACAGGAAATAGACAGTTCTATTGTGGAGAGTTATTTCAACAAAATAAAAACGTTATATTTTTATTTGTCAAAGAATAATTTCCATGTACATTAGAGGAGTTTTGACCCATGCTCGTAAGAGAAACTTATGGAATTCCATAGCTTCATATCTGAAACAGAAAGTAAAAATGTAAACCTAAACATTTGTAAAACTTAGAAAAAGAATTGGAAATGTTTTTGTAAAATCTTAAATATAATGAACTTAAGTGTGTTTTAGTAAAATGAGTAGTCCAACTCGCCAATGGCACTTTAAGGTTAATGATTATAACCAACCCTACTCTGTGGTGACAGCAAACAAAAGAAGCATGTTCAGATAGGCTGCACAGTATTTTACAGAGCTTTTTACATACTGTATAATTCCTTAAGTATGAACAGAAAAACAACCTAATGTGTTTAAAGCCTTATCAAGTACTACCAAACTGATTCAGTATTGTAAATTCCACATTGTTCAAACCGAAAGCCATTCCACCATCTGTCATTAATTAACCTTACTTTTATTTTTGAATGTGTGAATATCTTGCATTGTGGAATAAACAGAGCTATGATACAGTTTCTACTGTCGATAAAGTGGAGGTTTAAAAAGTGTGAAAATTACGGCATTATGTGTATATATATATATATATATATATATATATATATATAGTGTGTGTGTGTGTGTGTGTGTGTGTGTTTCTCACCTTCCACAGTGGTTGGTCTTTTTACTTTCTACTATCTTTGCTGTTCCCCAGTACTGTACTTTTCTGGACTGAGATGTCCATTGTTTTTCCCAGTATCTGTTGTAGCCACTCTTCCAGTTTGGGGGTTACGGCCTCAAGTGCTCCGATCACCACAGGCACCACTGATGCCTTCACTTTCCAGGCTCTCTCCAGCTCCTCCTTGAGCCCCTGGTATTTCTCTAGTTTTCCATGTTCCTTTTTCCTGATATTACCATCACTTGTTATTGCGATGTCCACTACAACGGCTCTGCTCTGTTTCTTATCCACCACCACTATGTCTGGTTGGTTCGCCATCACCATCCTGTCCATGTGTATCTGAAGTCTCACAGGATCTTGGCTCGGTCATTCTCCACAACCTTTGGAGGTGTTTCCCACCTTGATCCTGGGATCTCCAGCCCGTACTCTGCACAGATGTTTCTGTATGACTGCCACTTGGTTATGTCGCTCCATGTATGCTTTCGCTGCCAGCATCTTACACCCTGCAGTTATGTGCTGGACTGTCTCAGGAGCCTATATATATATATATATATATATATATATATATATATATATATATATATATATATATATATATATATATATATATATATAGATAGATAGATAGATAGATAGATAGATAGATATATATATATATATATATATAGCTTCATATTTTCAATGAAAACCTTTTTAGCTACTTTAAACACTAACTTTTGAATTTGTCCATTTACCTGTCTCCAGCAACCCTCTCCTCAATCCCAAACCCCATCAACGTCACCTTCGCTTCTGAAAATTTTAGAAATATCCTGAAATGGTCTCCAGGTTATGGCACTCCAGCTGATACCAAGTACAATGTGCGCTATGCAATGTAAGTACAAAACTTGTGGGGAAAAAAAAAAGAATCCATAGTTTATAATTTGTAACATGCTTCTTAACAACTGAATAGCATCTCATAGTTTTACAGCAATATTTAGTTTATTCCTGTAGCAGCTAAAGATTCTGTAACAACTCCAACTGCTGGGTGTCAGATGGCATCACAGCATTCTATAGGACAAGATTAATACAGGTGGGGGCAGATAAAATTAATGTTGTTCAAATGCAAAAAATATGTTTTAATACCGAGAATTCTTGGATTTAGTCAACCGTTGAAAATACCAGGTTCAGCATTTCTGAATTTACCTTTTGAACTCACTGTATTCCAACATACGTTTGCAATAGCCAACAAAGAATGGGTAATCAAAAATCAAAGCAACAAGTAAAAGGGAAATTTAATCTGGCTTGTTGCTTGAGACTGAACAAAAGATTGAACTAAGGTTGTTTATCTGTGGTGTGGATTTCACTTTCTGTGGACAGATATGGGGACAGTTTGGACAGGCGGGCTCACTGGAGACTTGTCCATCATTGTACTGAGATCTCAAGGACCTGGTGCGACCTGAGTGTGGAGACATCTGACCTGGAGCATGGATACTTCGCCAAAGTCCGTGCTCTGAGCCAGAAGAAACACTCAAAATGGGTAGAGACACCCAGCAGATTTGATCCTAAGATTGAGAGTAAGTTTTGCTTTTTTAAATTTTATTTTCATAACTTTGAATTCAAAACAAAGGTTTTATTTCTTTCTAAACATTGTGGTTTATTTTGGTAATTCAGTGTATAATCCATTAGTCTTATACAGCATTTTACATTTACTGAAACCAATAGCTGCCCTGGGGTAGACTGAAAAAAGCGAGGATGCCCCTCTTTGCACCACCAATCACTCACACAACATATTCATACTAGACAATGTGGGCGAAGTGTTTTGCCTAATGACACAACAACAGTCTATCTTAGACTTACCAGGCTCAACCCTGCTTAGCTTCTGAGATCAGATGAGATTAGGTATTCTCAAGATGGTTTGAACAGTTCAAGTAGAATGTAGAGAACGTTTCAGCTGGTTGCAGTTGCAATCGAGAAGTTTCACTCCCAATCAGAAGACAAGCTGTATTTTACTTCACATATCACATATTACATTATACTGAAAAAATCTAGTTTACATATTACTGAATGTAAAATGTCCAACACATAATGCATAAATCACAGCAAACTAGAAATAAGGTATCTAAAATTGTTGTTACTGTCAATTTAAATATGAACGACCCCACAATATGAACATGAATGTGCATTTATAATTCTCCTATTTTTCTGCAGCTGAATTTGGCCCTCCGCATGTTTCTGTGGAAGTTGATGACAAATATGCACTTATCACAATGGAAGGACCAATGAGATACCACCCTGACAACCACACCCCACAAGTTTCCATGGCGACACTATACCCCCACATGACCTATAACCTCTCTATCCACAACACTCGCACTGGAATGATTGTAAGTATAGTCATTATATTGTATTTGTCCCAATATTGTCATTGTTTTTGCTACATTAATATTCATTGTTTTTGTGTTTTTATAGCGACACTTCACATGGGGAAGAAACCTGTTCAAGTATCATATCGTGGATAAAGGAACCGAATACTGTTTCTCTGCCAAAACAAAACTAGAGGACAGGCATGTGCCCTCCAAACATTATTCCTCTCCGTGGCAGTGCATCTCCACACCTGAAGGTAACAGCCAAAAGTTTCTGCATGTGGGAGATTGAGTGCATTTTTTACGCGCTAAAATACTTGAAAGGAATGAGACTGAACTGGATTCATAAATGAAAGAGTAATTGGACTTCCTTAAATGTGAGACTGTTTGACGACTTTTGGTATTTGGGTTGAATGTTATTAATGTAATGCGGCTTTAAACTTAAGATGAGATATATTTTTTCTTTACTTGGGTATCAAAATACTGAAAGAAGTAAAAGTTATTGCATGAATATACTACTTGTACAAGTACTAGAATGAGACAGCAACAAAAACAATTGTTGCTAATACTACTACCACTCCTAGTACTAAGAAACATTTGGTCTCATTTGCATCATTACCACAAACCTATGATCAAACTAATTATACTCAATTAGAGCATTATGAACAGTTGGTCAAGAATAAAAGTATGAAGTAACTTGCGGTCTAAATCTTTTACTTCAATTGCCTGTAACAGATAAAAGTTTCTAGGTGTGGGAGGTTGAGGGTACTTTTTACTCCACGCTAAAATACTTGAATGGAATGAGACTGAACTGGAGCACATAAATGAAAGTACAACTGAACTTCCTTGAATATGAGACTGTATGACGACTGTTGGTATTTGGGTTGAATGCTGTTTATTAATTTAATGTTGTCAATTGAATGTTGTTCCATTCACACATGCTTGAGTAATGCTGCATTATTAGTTTGTCTACAGTCCCTGACAAAAGTCTTGTCGCTTATCCATTTTGTAGAAACAAAAGCTTATAACCTGACTTTAAATTAATCGATTGGTTTTAGAAATGTCTCATATGAAAGCTAAAACCCTCCCAAATTATGCTCAATATACTAAAATAAATTTGCTTCACTGAAGAAAGACTGATCATTTAATGAACACAGAAAGGTCAGATTTTGGCAAGACAAAAGTTTTGTCACCTACAGAAAATTTAACAAATAAGTTACTTCAAATACAAAAATATGTTGCATAACGTCAGTGAATTAAGTAGTGGTGCTGTGAGATCCATATTTAATATCTTGTATGACTTCCATGAGCTTGAAGGACTACATCCATGCGGTTCGACAATGATTCATACAATTTGTTCATGAAGTCATCAGGAATAGCAAAGAAAGCGTCTTACATGCCTCGCAGAGTTCATCAAGATTCTTTGGTTTTGCCTTCCATGCTTCCTCTTTCATTCTACCCCAGACATGCTCAATGATGTTCATGTCTGGTGACTGGGCTGGCCAGTCCTGGAGCACTTCTTCGCCTTGAGAAACTTTGATGTAGAGATAGAAGTATGCGATGGAGCACCATCCTGCTGCAAAATTTGACCCCTTTTATGGTTGGGAATGTAATAGGTAGCTAATACTTCTTGATATTTTAGGCTATTGATATTGCCTTCCACCCTGCAAATGTCTCGCACACCCCCATACTGGATGTAACACCAGACCATGATTTTTCCGCCACCAAACTTAACTGTTTTCTGAGTGAATCTTGGATCCATGCGGGCTCCAATAGGTCTCCTGCAATATTTGCGGTGGCTGTGATGTAATTCAACTGAGGATTCATCTGAGAAATCCACCTTCTGCCACTTTTCCAGTGTCCATCCTTTTAGCAGGCTGTGGGACTTGGCAAGTGCCACACGATTTTTTAATTGCCTTTTGTTTAGTGCTGGTTTCTGTGCACTGATTCGACCATCGAGGCCATTTCGAGACAGAATTCTACAAACTGTTCTGGTTGACACAGGGACTTGAGGTGACCAGGCCTGGTGGAGCTCTGCTGCAGTGGAAAAGGGGCTGGCCTTGGATTTTTGAATCAACAAATGGTCCTCCTGAGCAGTTGTCTTGCGGGGTCTGCCGGACCTGGGCTTGTCAAAAACATCTCCAGTCATTTCAGATCTTTTTCTTATTCTTTGTACTTGACGCTGAGACACATTGAAGGTGTCAGCACCTCAGCAGTGGATCTGGTCTTCAGCCTCTTGATAATTAACACTTTGGTCTCAGGGTGGATCTTAGGCATGTTGTCAGAGGTCAAGTTGCAGTTGATGTGAAGGTCTGGTGTGCTGGGATTTTTTTTATACACACCCACTAACTGATTGATCAGTAACTGATCACAGGTGAGGCTGTAATCTAGGATTGGGTGCATCATATGACAAGGCAACAAGACTTTTGTCTTGCCAAAATCTGACCTTTCTGTGTTCATTAAATGATCAGTCTTTCTTCAGTGAAGCAAATTTATTTTAGTATATTGAGCATAATTTGGGAGGGTTTTAGCTTTCATATGAGACATTTCTAAAACCAATCGATTAATTTAAAGTCAGGTTATAAGCTTTTGTTTCTACAAAATGGATAAGCGACAAGACTTTTTTCAGGGACTGTACATCTCTAAAGTTCAAAATGCTCTGTTTCTCTGTCATTAAGTGGTAGTTTTCAAGTTAACAGCTACATTTTACATTTCACTCGGTAACAATTGGAAATTCCAGGGTGGTAAATTTCATTTTAGTTGGGCATATCAAAACACTGAAAGAAGTTAAAGTTAATGTATGAAAGTACAACTTGTACAAGTACTAAAATGAGACAGCACCTAAAACTACCAACTACCACTCCTAATACTAAGAAACATTTGCTTCCATTTGCATCAAACCAATTATACTCAATTAAAGCAGTAAGATCAGTTGGTCAAGTAGAAAAGTATGAAATAACTTACAGTCTAAATCTTTTACTTCAGTTGCCTGTAAAATAATATGACTCAGCTTTCAGACCCTAATCATGGTAATTACTAACTGATTGTCACCTTTCTTTGCAGATCCACTCATTGACCAAGCTGAGAAAATGGTTATCTACACAACAGTTCCAGTGGTGTTCTTGCTGTCTTCACTGGCTGTAGGCGGCTACATCCTCCACAAGTATTTGTCGGGAAAAGACCAGAAGAGCCCTTACATGCTGGTAAGAAAGATATCAACATATCTTTCCTCATAACACTGGGTACATTTACGTGACCAGTAAAAATCAGATAACCAGAGTATGTTTCGATGTGTGTTTGCATGCACAAAAGAGATCTGATCATCAAAAACACTCGGTGACCTGTGTCAGTTTTAGAGATCTACCGATATGGGTTTTTTCATAACTGATAACAATTGTTTATAAGCCAGAGAGACCGATGGCCAATGAGCTCTGTCTATATTTAAAGGCTGATGTGTAAAACCAATTTTGGTTATTTTCGCTGAATTCTGTACTTTAAATTTACTACACACTCACCTACAACCCCTGTTTTACCAGAAACGTTGAAGAGAGTAGTGAAGTCACATTTTTTGCAGTTATCACTAGTCACTTGTGTATTCTTTAGGTAGAGGGTCAACCAAAACATAATATTGGTCTGTGCTGGAGATTTAAGACCAATACTCAATACACTAGTCAGTTAAGCACAGGATTTTAGAGTAACTGTTGTTTTTTTTTAAGACAAAGTACAATGAATTTGAAAACTCTTTCCATATTGCCCTTTTTATGTGATTATACTTGTCAAAACTTGCACAGGTCTTAACAATTAGAAATAAATCAGATTACTCACATGATCAGATGGAATAACATATGTGAACATAGCTGTTTAAGACACACATACACACATTACTATATAATTATAATTTTTTTATTTTTCCAACAGAATCCGCCCACTTTCCACGCTTCGCTTTTGCCGATACCTGATGATTTAAACATTTTTGTCATCTCGGTTGTTAAAGAGGTGCCACTAAACACTTGTACAAAATTACTGTCACTTGTATCAAATCCTAGCCCTGAGCTTCAGAGACCCAGAGCCCCACCCCTTGTTGCTAGACGTAACTCATCGGTCGACTATGGGGTTGTGTCTCCGACTGTTGAAGAAGTGGACATGCCAGATGCTGGAATATGTCTGATTGGAAGATACAAGCAAAAAGAGTGGCCAATTGAACCTGGATCTTCTGGGAGACCTTATGCTTCCCAAAACTTTTTCCTGAAATCATTGTCATCATCAGTGTATCCAGCATTACAGAATACATTGGGAGAAAATGACCGAAGTTTAAGCCTACAAGAAAATTCAGAAACAGGCACTTTGCTATTACAATTCAACCAAAATCAGAGTTCAAATGTTAATGATGAGGCAAATGTCATTAGTTCTACTGGTTACGCCACTCAAAATGTCTGCCCCGTACCGCCAACTAACCAATCAGATGCCTTGGCAGATGATTATGGTTTAGCATGTGGTTTGCCTCCAGCAGACGACACAGAAGACATGGATTCTCAAGATCAGGACGACGAAGATGCTGATTGTCTTCATCTCGACTGGAGTCCCACCAGTCAGATATTAACAATACCAGGTTTTGATTTGGGGATTGGACAGAGGGAAAGAGGAGCACGGCCTAATTTGGAGACTGTATTCGTGAGGCAGCCATCAGAAGAAGATGCGCTGTTAGATGCAGAGAGGATTGGGAGTGATCAGTCAGAGACAGGGAAATTTTTGGCAGAGTGGGACCTCATTGTGTCAGATGAGTAAAATTAAAGGTGCACAATGTAACTTTTTTGCTGGGAGATCCACCATGTGCTTGTCTCCTGGAGCTGTTTTTTAATTACTCTTATCTCGCCAGTATGTATTCAATCACAGGTGTATTATTTATTGCCAAAAAATGCTAAAAAAAATACACCTGCAGTCTTATTGTGATTGGGTGTGCATGGCTCTCCCCAGATCTGACCTGTAACTTGGTCTGGTCGCTTGCCTGCCTAAATTGACATAGACACGTTGTAATATCTTACTGTGGAACATTTAAAGCAAAGCATGCAGAACAAAAGGTTACATTGTGGACCTTTAAAGTTATTAATTCATATACAGTAAGACATATTGTCTATTCCATTGTCTTTACAAAGTGATCATTGTTTAATGCCAGTTTGAGCTGAATCAGAGAGCATTTTGCCTCTCTTTACAGTATATTTTATTGCTCTTATATTTATCGTTCTAACCTGGGTAAATATATTACTTTGAACACTTTACCTCAGCTTAATATTATCTAAAACTCAAGCACTTAAGTAATTCTGTAGGGCTGAATATTGATTATATTTTTGTATTTTGATGCATTTATCACAAGTCAGTAATATATTATTCCCAAATGAAGGAGCTTAGCTAATTAGCAAATTTAATGTTTGCTTATTCTATATTTCAAATTCTACATGTTGCATTACAGTTGTTTTAACTGTTGATGTTTATGCTGTATGTTATATTATTATTTTTGCTACAGTTATGTGGTGTTATCTGTGAATTTTTTGAATGAAGATCAGGAGCACTTTATTATATTTTAATCAAATAATAACCTACTAAGCCTTTTGACAAATTAGTTATTATTTACTTACCTTTTGAAATGGCTCTACCTTTTATTTGTGTTAACATTGTTCGTAGTATGTGGTTGTTGTGCATTTTGTCTTGTTACACTTCCATTTACTCCTGAATTAATGACCCATGTTTATTGTTTAAAAGTGTACTATAAATGAATCATCACAATATTTACTATTGTTGTAGCCTGTTTATTCACTTACGGCTTATACCAGAGAGACTGTGAGAAAAGACCAATAGACCAGCCCTGCAGACAAACAATTGAAATATTGAATGTATACATCAGTTAACTTTATGTGAATTTAAAGTGATATACACATAAAGTTTAAGTGTGATTCTGGGGCACATTAGATTTAGACAAACTTTACTGATCCACAGTGGAAATTATTTGAATACAGTAACTCACACATCACAATATATTATAATAACAAAGAGCAAAATATAAATGGAATTTGTTAAGTTCAAAATAAGTAGAAAAAATAGCACGATACTGGTGCCAAATAAAGCAAAATTAGCTATATAAATGTATATGTACACATTAGGGGCAAAAGACAGGTTAACATGATGTTTTTGAAACAATAGCATTAAAGCGCCAGGTTTCAATACAAGTAGAAATCAAGATAAACAATAAAAGCCTAATTATTGAGTAAAAAGGATGTTATAGTTTAATGCAGTCTGAGGGTGTTTGCTGCTTTTAGTGGTAATCATAACACAATGAATTCACATTTAAGTCTTTTTCTTTTTTTAGTAAAAGGCATTTTGAAGGACTCACAAAAGAAGATATACTAGTAGGTCTACTAACAAGCATTAATGAAATGAAGAGTAAGCCTGTTTAGAAAATAGTGTGGAGTATAGCGACATCTGTTGGTGTGAGATCAGTCTACATTTATATTCGCTTTCTTATAATCAGTCTGTGTCATACATATAATAAGTCTATTATTTCGTATAATTGTGTATTTTATAACAAGATTCCCATTTCTCAATCAATCAATCAATCAAACTTTATTTGTATAGCACTTTTCATACATTTGAAATGTAGCACAAAGTGCTTCACATGCAACAGAAAAATTTTTAATACATTAATTAACACCCCCCCCCCCCCCCCCCCCCCCCCCCCATACCACAATTTAAACAGAAACATAAAAACTACAAAACTAATAAACATAAAGCTCTTAAAAGTTATAGTAAAAATTAAAAGTGTATAGCTAAGACCAGATGGAGACAAAATAAAATAGTAATGATAATTTAATTTAAAACTACCATAATAATAACAATAATAATGATAATTTAAGTTAAAACAGGTAAAAGTTTCAGTTAAAAGCTAAATTAAAAAGATATGTTTTTAAGTTTACTTTTAAAAATATGAACACTCGCAGCGGACCTCAGATCCTCAGGCAGACTGTTCCACAGACGGGGGCCGTAAAAGCTAAAAGATGCCTCACCGTGAGTTTTAGTTTGAACTCTTGGGACAGCTAAAAGGAGACTACCTGAGGACCTGAGAGTCCGAGAGGGCTCATATGATAAAAGCAGATCAGATAAATAAATAGGACTAAGACCATTAAGAGCTTTATAAACCAATAAAAGAACATTTCTATCACCTCGGGAACGTATTTAGATAAATTATTTTAGTCCTCCGTCTACAATGTGATCCAGTTTACCTTTGGAGATGCCTTGTACCCTTGTAACCACCAGGCGGCGCTGTGCTCTCCCAGGCGCCGGTCTTCTCTCCTCTCTGTGTCCGTCATGGCCGCCTCCTGCTCGGCTTCAGCTCCCATCACTGGGCGGGACCACGGTGGGGCGGACAGCCAGGCTTTGGGCACTTCCGCCGGGTTTCGGGTTTCCATCGAGTCGGCATTTAAATTGAGCTGGTGCGCATCAGCTGCTGCTACATAGGTTAGAACAGAATAATAGCTCAAATATATGACTTAAACATATTAGAAGAAGAGGAAAGATACTATAATAATTATAGAAGAAGCGTGCAGGTTTGGTTCATTGGAGGAGCTTTTCAACAATAACGGAGCCTGCCTTGTTACTGACAGCAGCCTTGTGCATCATTTTTGGGATTCCTGCGCGCTTTTTGGAGGATATTGAGTCGGTAACGTGATGCTGGGCGTGCACAGTTTGACAATTATTATTCATTTGCTTTGTGATTTCTGCTAAGATCTTATAGATTTTGCTACACCTTGAATGATAGTCTGTGTTTTGTGGCCTGGACAATGGAGGACTGATGGACTGCATGTGTTGCATTTAAATGAAGTAGCCAAACATCCTGTTTTATTAGTATTGACATAATATAAAATACTATACTACACAATACTATTCATTCACGTTTAATAGTTGCCTTAGCCTATAGTTGTGTTATAGTGCAAATTGGCTTACTCGGCACCTGCACAAAGCAAGCAGTATTTCTAAGAAGAAAGTTGAATTAAGAAAACTGTAGCCATGTTCAGCTGGCTTGGCACAGATGACAGGAGGAAGAAGGAGCCAGAGGTTTTCCAGACTGTCAGTGATGGACTCAAGAAACTCTACAAAACCAAGCTTCTGCCACTGGAGGAGAGCTACAAGTTTCACGAATTCCACTCTCCGGCACTGGAAGATGCTGACTTTGACAACAAGCCCATGGTCCTCCTGGTGGGACAATACTCTACAGGCAAAACCAGCTTCATACGGTGAGCACACATTTGCATTAGACCCAAATGAGATGCCAGAAAGATAGAAGACAGAAGGAGAGATCAGGAGACACACCCAAAGTCTGTTTCAAAGTTGAAATTGCATGTGTGAGAGATGACTTCATCATGATACAAAATTGGCCAAAAAACTGCAAATAAAACCAGTATGGATAAACACGCCCCAAGCCACAGCTGTTTAATCAAATCCACAAGGAGAGTTTATTATCACACACTAGCCAGTGAACTTCTGTGATTCACTTACTCATAGATGAGTAAATATTTGTAATGAATAATTTTATCTCATCACTGTAAACACCCATTTATGTACTATTTAAATACCCATCTTAATAGACACTTTTAAAGCAATATAATGAGCAACAATCATTATAGTCATAAGATTGATGTGAAAAAATTTTGACTATCTGAGGAGCATTCTCTTTTATTATCATGGGAAACACATATAACTTACCTTTATATATGCATCTAGTTTTTGTATATTTTAGTTTTAAAATACGAGCCCTACTTTGGTACAGGTTTAAGAGTATAGCAAGAGCATGCAGGATTACTTATTATGGTTCATTAATCATTACAAACCAATGTACTCATTTACAACTAAAATGTTCTCAGAGCTTTGGACCCACAACACAACAAAAAGTAGCAATTTCTTAGATTTTCCTGTCATTGCCAAATATCACTCTTCCTTTGAGCATCTTCTCGTCTATTTCACAGTAACTCATCAGTGACAGACACATTAGCATCTGGGTGCTGAGCCTCTTTGAAACTGTAGGCCAGCTGCTAACAGCCATCCACTCCCATATCTCTGTTGGAAATTAGAAGGATAGGCCAGTAAAAGCTAAAGAGGATGAGTGACTTCCTGCTAATACCAGACAGCACACACACCAGCTATCTTCTCCATTTCTAAGTTTAAATTTTAATCCTTATAATAATTGTTGTTATTTTTGAATGTCTGGCTGGTTGTAGTCAGCAGCCTGAGCTTGCATTGTAACAGGAGGCTGCAGAATGTACAAAGTGCTGAGTAACTGTGTGTCAGAGGAGGGAAGGAGTGGCTAAGCTTGCCTAGCAGAAGTTAACTACCTGGTCTATGATCTGAGCTAAATCAACATTGAAAGGCTAGTCTGTGAAAATAGCTCTGTCTGATGAGTTCAGGGCTGAGAAGGATAAAGTGATAATCTCTCATTGATTTCTAATTGACCATATCTTCTTTGGGTCACTTACCATGTATTGATTCTTCCTGTGAAATGCTCTTCAGTGAAACAACGTGCATTACCATGTTATGACAAGCTATTTTTAACAATTTAAAAATGTAACTATCGAGTAATACTGATTTACATAAGGCATATGAATATTATTGTTTATAATCTCTAACCTAGACAGAGTGATCAGGGCTTAAAGGGCCTATATTGCACAAAATTGACTCTTTGACCTTTGTGAGCTTTAACCCAGAATGTTGTTAAATACATTTTTACATACAACAGGAATTATGTTTTGTTTCATTCATATATGCTTGGGTAATCCCGGTTTATTAGTTTGTTTACATCTCCAAAGCTTAAAATGTTCTGCTGCACCATGTGATGTCATGAAGCAGTAGTTTACAAGTTACAAGCTACCTTTTATCTTCAGTTTAGTAGAAATGGGCAATGCCAGGGCTGAAATTATCCAAATGATTCTAGTGTAGTGTATGGATTTTAAAAACACAGGTGGAGCATTTCCTGTATGACATCACAAGGTGGAACAGGGCGTTTTCTGTCTGAGAGAAGAGCACAGCCTAAATATGCAGGGTTTATGTGATAAATGTGTGTGAATGAAACAAAACAAACTCCAGGTATGTTTTTGATGAAGAAACAACATTATAACATCGATCAGAAAATAGCTTAATATGGGCCCTTTAAGTTTACAAAGTACTACGATCAATTCTGTTTAACTTTTTACAGAACAAAAATACAGTAGCAGATGATTTAAGTCCATAACAGTAGACAAGTCCCTTAAGTGTTTCCCAACATAATTGCTATTGCCTTTATTGTGGTCTGTGGTTTTGAAAACTTACGCTGCTTCCCTAGAGAACTATTTATTAACTTAACATTTATTTTGGCCCAAAAACTACTTCCCTTTGCTTACGCCATATAATCCATACATTCCATACATTGTAAACTGTGTATTCTTTATACAAAGTCCTTGTTAGAACAGACTAACAACAAACTATAGCTGTTCCTGGGGCCCTGTGATGTAATAAGGATTTGAAGTGTATAGATTTTGATGCATGGCTTTACCCTATAGGAGCTGTCATGTCTTGGACTATTTTGCCTATGATAAAAAACATACATAAGATTTATTGCTTATATAGGCAATGGACCAACTCCCTTCTAGAATGTGTGTATGTATGCAAGTAGTGATGGCTCTACCAGGCACTGCACTCTCTCAGGAAAGTGTGTGCTCAAGGGTTGGGGCAGGAGATCTTTTTAGGGAATCGTGCTTACATCTGTTTGCTGTTAAAATGTATACACACATTCCTCTGTAACGCTAACAAGATTTACAGCTCCTTTAGTCTCTGCCTAAGCCTTCTTTATGGTGTGTGCCACAAAGTTAGCATGGCGAAAGTGCACACAAACACACCAATCTTCATTTGCTAACAGTAAAAATGCGCGTGAATTACAGCTGTGGGTTCAACCTCTCACACCCAACATGAGGTCAGAATCAGCTGTAGTGTCGTCCAATCACAGTTACAAATGGGGTCAAAAGTTTTACAAGGAGTTTTATCTTCACAGCTTTTATTGTTTTAACCAAAGTTACTGGACTTGTGTAATTAATCCTGATAATTAGAGTAGTCTCCTGTCATAGTTATGTCATGTTATATTATCATTGTGAAACCGAAGCAGCAGATGGTTTGCCTATGCTGTGATTAACTGATAACTCATACCATCTGATATGCTGGCTGCTGAGATAAGAAAAGGGTTTGTTCGAGCAGGTTTTTGGCAAAATATTCTGCAATTTAATTCTTCATTTTCAGGTTATCTTTAGAAAAGCAAAATTTGTTTTATTAGCTTATATGCTACAGTTGAAATATTACAATTTATGGTGCACTATAACTTTTCTGATGGGATGTCCACTCCTTTCTCATCTTCATATAGGATATTATTGCTTTGCCTGGAATGTTTCACAGTATGACATTTAATTGATCTGTCTTGCACGTTGTTGCTCAAAAATACCTCGAAAAACTTGCATTCATACTGTGAGTGGAGTCACCTCTCCACAGATCTGACCTGTAGCTTGGTACAGGTAACATCAACAGTTTCTCTCCATGGAGACAGGTAAGTTAATATTTCAGGAAATTTAATAACATCTCCAAGGAGACAAGAATGTGGCAAACCCTCCACCATAACGGTTATTTCATAGTTCACCTTTAATACAAAATATACAATTTGTGGTGCAATGTTTTGTCAACCCATAGTCTTAATTATCTAGACTAGCTAAAACTAAAATTGGAAATGTCTACAATAGTTTAATAACCTTCTTATATATACATTAGGTGGAAGTACAAGCAGGTGGACCATTTTGTCAACAGAACCATAAGCATTTAGTTGCATACCTAAATATTATTATTATTGTCCTTTGCTGGGAAATCTCATGTTTTGCTTAATGCTACATGTCCTTATCACCCCTACAGCTACCTGTTGGAGCAAGATTTTCCCGGAATGCGAATCGGCCCTGAACCCACCACAGACTCTTTTATCGCTGTGATGCACGGCGACACAGAGGGCGTCATCCCCGGCAACGCTTTAGTGGTTGACCCCAAGAAGCCCTTCAGGAAACTCAACGCATTCGGAAATGCATTCCTTAACAGGTGAATAAAGTACACTACAGTACACACATAAGTATAATCTACAAAAACAGAGTGTACAAAAATATTTTACAACTAGTTAATATTCAATAAAATTCACTTTTTGAGGAAATTGAAGGTTTGTGTCATCATGTATCTAATCCACATTCTCTATTATTGACTTAAACCATTATAATTGTTTAATATAATGGCATTTTTGGTGACTAAACATCACCAATATTGTCATAAATCTTTCTGTAAATATTCAGGTGAATCCCTATATAGTTTAAGCATGTAAGCCTAGCTGTACCCATTGTCTTTAGTAAATAAAGAAGTAGGTTTGGACACTCATATATTCATGCTGTTATACTGAATAATAAATGGAATTACTTAAGAAACATAGAAGAGCCGACATTTGCACCTATATTGTTTTTTTTTAATTCACCATGAGAAAAATAGAATAGAATATGGTCAAACTCTACATATTTTCATAGTTCACCAGTCTACCTATCAGTTGAAAAACATTGGAATGAGGACACCTTGTATGGTAGAATTACAGCCAAGCAAGTCATATTTCATAAGGGTTTTTTTTTTTTTTTTTGTCTTGTCAAAGTATGCACACAAAGATAAAACGTCTAAGAGGAGTTCAAGCTAGAATCGGCAACACCACTCTACATTCCTGTCTGATTGAATTTCCCTCTACTCCCTGCTCTGGTCAAACTTAATGGTCCCATTTGTATTGAAAGAATAGAGGAAAAAAGAGAACTACTGCTTGGTGCATGCACAGTCATCCTTTAGGGACATGTATTTCTTTCTTTTACAGCCTTGTCATGTTTGCTGACTTTACATGTGAGGACAACCACTAACCTGTCAGTATTTAGACAGCTGTAAAGGGCAAAGCACATGGGGGCAAGTACTGAGAAGGGATAGAAAGTGAAGAGAAAGCTTGTTGTTGGAGCATTTTACACTTCTGCAGGGTGTCTCTCTGAAGTAAGTTTGCACGATATTGTAAAAAACTGCAGTATGGCTGTTAAGAAATGCAATATCGATATTATTGGGACATTTTAATTTACTTTTTGACACAATATGGAAAATCATTTAAACAGCCCAATATCAACAATTCCACACAAAAATGTATTTTCTGTCAGATGGTATTATTGCAATATTTTTCCAGGGTCAGTGCAAATTCTAACGCTAACTGCTGTGCTTTTTTTTTTTTTTGTATAACCACACAGGTAGTTCTGGCAACAGTTAATCACTGGTCTGTATCCTTACACTGTGAGCCACAGCACAGCAACGGGTAAACAAATGAACTACTGTTAGGAGAGACTAGCTTCAACTAAAACAGAAATAACAAATGCTTTGAACATCCATGGACAGCCAAAATGCCCTGTGGGAGGTGATCTGTCATCCCACTACAAAAGACCAACTGCTACGCTAAATCTTTTATTCCTTCTGCCATAAAACTTTAAATGGAAAATAAATTTGCTAATGGGTCCCCTTGATGAACTGAGGTTTGAATGTATGGTGTGTGTTGTATGTACATGTTTTTTTGACGACCAGATATCTGCAAATTGAATTGCCCTTTGGGATAAAGAAAGTTATTGATTGATTGAAAAGGTTGTTAGATTTAAAAGTGATTTTCAGTTGGTGGGACCATGTTACAAGTGGATTAAACAACTTGGAGCAGTGGGTTGCTCTGTTTTAACTGCTCCTCGTTTAGTCCTTACTCTCCTTAGAAATATAATGTTCTATCTGATGGTTTTGTACAAATTATGCTATTCATATATACTAGTCCATGTATATTTTCTGTGTTATTATCAAGATTTTGTGAAGTTTGGTATTTTATTAGGTTCATATAGCCTACTACCCAGAATGCAGATAGAACCTTATAATGAGGGCACAGCATATTTAATTGCGATATAGATAATTGTTTCAGTCACTTTTGCAATATCAATACTTTGATACTCTCTTCTCTTTTTATGCAGATTTGTTTGTGCACAGCTGCCCAATCCTGTTCTGGAAAGCATCAGCGTTATTGACACTCCAGGAATTCTGTCGGGAGAGAAACAGAGAATCAGTCGAGGTAACACATACACCATATAATACACACAAGCCACTGTCTATGTCTCTTTCAGTCACGGGACGGTCCCACTGCAGTCTGAACCACTCTGTCAGCATTTCCTTTGCATTTGCCCTCATGTGTTTATTTTAGGTTGGAACTTTCAAGCGGACTATGCTTCATTCATTTCAAAGAGCAGGAAGTAGAGACAGATACTAGGCCCACAACCCCATGGGCCACGATACTGTATGGTGTCAACAAATAATGCAGTCTTTTTAGATTCAACATTTTCTCTACCAGTGTGCCAATGTGCAATCTAGAGACTTGTACACAGTCACATAAAGTACCATAACATCAACTTGCTCAAAAGTTCGATCACTTGGGACAAAGTCTGGGGTTTTCAACAATTCAGCATAGTTATTTATAGCATTTTCTTTTGTAAATTTGCAAGGGAACCCATAAAATTTAGGTACTGACTGTATGCAGTAAGAACTAAACTAAAGGTAACATGTACATAAATTAGGTTAGACTTAGATTTAGTTTGATCCACAAGGGCAGTTACCGTATTTGGACACAGTGCCTCACACTTCACAATAAATATAATAATAACAAAGAACAGGAACAACTATAAATAGAAATAAGTAACGAATATAGCAAGGGTTAAATAAGGCGTAAATATTGAATATGCACAAGAAAAGAAAAATATAGAATTATAGTAAATATATCTCTCGGTTATATACAAGAAGTTGTAAGGAGAAACAGTGCAACAATTAAATATTGATTGACATAGGTTTATCTATTACATAAGGGTGAGTTGTTGTACATCTAATTTCAGTTTTTACATTTACAAAGATAGCACAATTACACAAAAGGGCAGCTCCTCTAGGTAGCATACTATAATTTGCATAAACCAAAAATATTGTGTACAAAACTACGCGCAAATCTGTAGTTCAGACCTCTATGTTCCTAAATGTATGTGATTCTTTTGTAGTGGTTCAGCAGTTCATATTACTGTGTACTGGTTATTTGAACTCTCTAAAAGATAAATTGCTAATCTAATCACAATTCAAATAGCCAGAACAATCACAATTGGATTATTTCTTAAAGACGCTCCACCCTAGTACAAAGTTCGCAAAGGTCCTTCTTGCTTTACTTTGGTTTGTCTCATAGCCAGCATTCCCACTGAGATCTTTGTATTGCCATAACAACTGCTTACAGTCTACACGACGCTGGGATGTTTAAATGACTGCTATTACTTACTTTCCTTTGTTTTTCCCTTGTACCACTGCCCTTTTCACACAACATTTTTCATTGGGTTGTTTTCATGTCTGCAACTTCATGCCTGGAAAAGTCATTGACCACTTTATTTGTAGCGTTAAAGCAGTCAGTGGTTTGAGGTTCGTATTTTTTAGGGACTATACAAGGATTTTGCAAACTGAGCACCTACCAAGTACCACCCAGACTGTGGCGCAAACAATTCTTATTCAAATATTCATAGTCTTGTAGACCATGAGAAAGAAAAGTAGACCACAGTATGGTCCATAAGTGTAAAATACATCTTTAATGCCATACAGTGGAACATTCCAGGCAAAGCAATAATATTTTCATGGAGACCTTGAAATCTGGGAAGCACTGGTATAGCTGTATATTTCATTCACATGTACCCAACTACTAGTCTTCACCCTATTTGTTATAATTGTAAGTCATGTTGTCAAATCAAACATGTTTTGTTTTAATGTAGAAACAAAATATTGCCATTGTTTTTTGGGGGATTTTTTTTTTTGGAAATGTTATTGCTTTGTCTGGATTGTTCATGACACCAAACCAGACCAGGTTACAGATCAGATCTTTGGAGAGGCAACCCCACTTACAATCAAAATGGTTTCGAGTTATTTTGTGCTATAAAACCACTTGTAATTTAATAAATGTAAGATGCTGTTTAATGCCATACTGTGGAACATTTTGAAGCAGAGTAATGAGGTCTACATAGAAATAAGCAGGTGACAGACCCCCAACCAAAGAGTTACATAATGCACCTTTAAGTATATGCCCAGACTAAAAACAGCATTTACTTCCTTTAAACAAAAATAAAAAAGACAAAACTGATCCAAATGTGTTATACAACAAGTAACTACACAAAAACAGGATATCGGCTGAAGCAACAGAACATTTCTCAGTATCATGCCTCAGTATCTGATACTATTATTGAATCGGTACATCCCTAGTCTTTTTGGCAATTATACTGGTAAGTGTTAATTTTCATGTCATTATTTAACAGTTTTTGAACAACAAACTAACATACCCATGATCAAGTCTATTTTTTTTCATTTGACATTTTGTTATATAATTTGTGTTCACATTTTCAGATGAAGAATTTTCATGCTATAGCTATCTGCATAGATGTCCATATGGAGGTATTCAATGATTCTGCAAAAGCGCATAGCGAAAAAACTTGGATATCTTGAAGAATTTGTGGAAAACTTGGCTTCTTCTTCACCAGATCACATGTCACATGATTTGGGAATACACAACGCTCCTTACATAAATATTGCATAGTTTAGTCCTATTTCCTGCATTAAAATAGTACTGACAGATGGACTGGTTTGCACATTCTCTTGGGAGGGAATAGTGTTTTAGCTTTAGCGTCTTAGCGGTGACCCTGCCCAGACATGTGACCAAGAGTGGCCTCTGTGAAGAAAGATCCACTTAAATTCATGTTGTCAAGGTATCTCCCAATTGTAACAGTGTACGCTTTGCCCTTTTTGTAACCTTCTTGTATTTTTGTACATTATTAAACACGTGTAATGCTCCCATGCAGTGAAGCAGTGTTGTGGTGGTAATTGTATTATGACCAAATGGTACAATCAGTCCATTTGCACTACATTAACTTAACACTAACATTAAACTGCTCTTGTGGCCTAATGCACTGATCAATACTCTACCATTTAGCTGAAAACATCTTGTATTATTTTCTTCTTTCAAGTGTTTGTATCAAGAACGTGTGAGTAAAAAAAAAAAAAAAGTTTAATTGACATTTATCCAGAATTAAACAGATCAACTAAAATCAATATTTTTTTTCTACAATCTCTACAATTTGATTCAGGATTGTGAAAAATCCTGTTAACAAAAGCCAACAATGATTCTGTCAGGGTAGGGCAAAATGGGGGAAAAAAATGAATCATCGATCTCTAGTTTCAATTAAATTTCATTTTGTCTTTAAAAACAAAAATTACACTGATTAAAAGTATGTAAACACAAAAAATAAACAAATGTCTCCAAATCACAAGATTTCTGGATGAACTGCCCAGCCCTGTTGTAATGTATTGAAAAAATTGAACTAAAATACACAGATAATTTATAATAAGCTTGTACACTGCGTCTTAATTTGTCCATTGTCCATTGTTCCTGTCTCATATCTTTTGGAATCTTCAGGTTGGACCAAGCGTTGTCCTTGAGCTACAGGGATAGTCTGTGCAATGAGATCAAATTACAAATCACCACATTATCCTGTTATGCACCCAATAACCCATGTTCTAATATCTGGTCTATTCATTTCAACGTGGACATCTTTATCAGCTAAACCAAAGTATTTCTACACTGTGTAATATTTTCTTAACCAAAAAGGTGTCAACTAAATCTGCTAATGTGCTTTTCTTTGCTAAATATTTCATAAAGTGTTTTGCGTTAACAGTGTGTAAGCAGATATACTTTTCTCTCAACATGTTGTAATATGGGCGTCGCCATGGTGACCTGGTGTCCTTGCTCTTGGGAAAATTGCAACAGAGTAGAAAGTAAAAAGCTTTGGTTTGTTTTTTGCGAAAGAAACAACTGACCTATGAGTTTTGTGCTTTTCTTAACCCCAAATCTTGCAATATTTCACATGTTAAGAATTATAATATTTTGTTTTCTTGTTGTTTGCAGGATATGACTTTGCTGCGGTGTTGGAGTGGTTTGCAGAGAGAGTGGACAGGATCATTTTGCTGTTTGACGCTCACAAGCTGGATATTTCTGATGAGTTTTCCGAGGTGATAAGGGCCTTGAAGAACCATGAGGATAAAATAAGGTGACCTATAGCAAAACAGCTTAATTTTATGTTTAATTTATCCCTGAATTTTAACTTAATGCTTTTGTTTTGTTAGAGTTGTGCTGAACAAGGCTGACCAGATTGAAACACAACAGCTCATGAGAGTGTATGGAGCCCTGATGTGGTCTCTGGGGAAGATCGTCAACACTCCGGAAGTAAGATCACTACTTCACTTGGCTCTAATTTAAAAAAAAAACAAATATTGAATGGTATTTTGACAGGTTTATAATAATTGTTTAACCAATTAATACCAGAAAAAATATCTGTAAATGAACTGAGACTTTTTCACTTAAAGATGCACTATGTAACTTTGCTGTTGGAGTGCACCACCTGCTTGTTTCCATGGACATGTTATTGCTTAATGCTATACTGTGGAACAATCTAGGCAAAGTAATAACATCTCCATGGAGACAAGCAGGCAGCAAGCACTCAGACATTAATATTCTGAATATAATCCATTTTTGTTTGTGTAGATGTTCTGTTTAGGCAGTGTAACTACATAGACTTGTATTGACTTTTATAGTGGTCTGATTTTGCTTTGTGTTGGACAGGTGATCCGTGTCTACATTGGCTCTTTCTGGTCCCACCCCCTCCTCATACCTGATAACAGAAAGCTGTTTGAGGCCGAGGAACAGGACCTCTTCAAGGACATTCAGTCTTTACCTAGAAATGCAGCACTCAGAAAACTCAATGATCTAATCAAGAGGGCAAGACTAGCCAAGGCAAGTGCTAAATCATAATGCAGTTCTGTGAAGTTCGAAAATGATTACGTTTCAGGATTTACTATGAAGCAATTTTGGGAACTTAATAAAGAACCTCCTAGTCCCTCTTAAAAAGAAAAGATTATAATTTAGTGAAAAAAAGTATTAAAATGTTAGGGCAGCTACATTTTCAGATGTAATTTACAAAAGAAATCTACACTTAACATCCCCCATTGTCCTTCAGATCAGTGCAGTAAAATTGCTTTGTATTATTTATTCAAATGAGAAGCAGTATGAACTATGACTAAACCTTAATTCTGTAAATATGATACAAAATTACAATATATATCCACCAAGTTTTCCTATCCATGGCTTTCAAGGTGATAAAAAAAAATACTACTGTTGCCATAGCAATTTTGTATGATGAAAAGTACTCAAAATGGCATCTATAAACAGGAAGCTATGCACCTAACATAAAATACCAGCTCTCTACCTCTTGTATATGCTGTAGGTACTTTATCTGTATTATTGGTAGCCATAGTTAATGTTTGACCAGTGGATTTGTAACAATGACACAATCTGGCTGACAGTTTTTCATGCATTCACCTCCCTGGAAACACAAGTGCCGTTATTTAATTATTATCAATATTCCGACCTCCAAAGGTGTTGATTTCCTATTTATTCCCACTCATCTCTTATTCCCTCCACGCCCAGTCCAGCTGCTAACCTTGACAGAAAAAGCATGCCACTGTCAAATCACTAATAGATCCTGACATATGTGCTTGTTCTTCCTGGATGGAGGACTTCCTGGTTTGTATTTGTTGAGGAAATCAGGTGACAACCCGGAGGCTGTCGGTTCAAGGAGACACGAGGAGCAATTGAGGGACACAAGATAAACTTAACAAACAAGTGTGATGTGAATAGAATTTTCCTGTGTGGCAGCTGAGGGGTGTGTGATTCAAAACTGAGATAAGACCTGGGATAAGACCAAACTGTGGAAGTGCTTATTTTATAACATTCCTATGATAATATAATATTCCTAGTATTCCTAGTATGATAATATAATATTCCTAGTGAAGTTCATATCATTATCACTAGGAGTTGTTTTGTTTTATTCACACGTTGAAGTAATCCTTTATATTACTCTATCTTTATATCCAAAGCTCAAAATGCTTTGTGCTCACAAGGTGGAACAAGGTTGAGTGCTTTTAATTTGAGAGAAGAACTCATTCTAGCTGCAGGGTTTGTGTGTTTAAACATGTGTGAATGAAACAAAACACAACTCCAGGTATGTTTGTGAGGAGTAAACAACATTATAATATAGATCAGAAAAGAACGTAATATGGGCCCTTTAGTACATGTGACCAATATATCAAAAACAAATAATTATTCAATAAATAATTATAAAATTACCGTTAGATTTCATATATATTTATATAATATGTACATTGCATAATCCTCTAACCATTGATGTTTTGGGTGGAACAGAACACAAATCCCCTAAGACACAACTCAGGATTAGGAGCAGATGAGACAAGAGTCTGACCTAATCCGTTATAAATTAGATACTTACTTTTTTCACAACTACTTTTATTATTTATTTTAGTTAAAGGCACACAAATTATCTAAAGTAATGCATCTTATATTGGTTACAGCTGGACTGCAAAATTTCTGTGAATGAATAAATTATTTTATTAACTGCAGGTCCATGCCTACATCATCAGCTCCTTGAAGAAAGAGATGCCTTCTGTATTTGGAAAGGAAAACAAAAAGAAAGAGCTGATCGCAAGCCTGGGAGACATCTACAAACGCATCGAGAGGGAGCACCAGATCTCACCTGGAGACTTCCCCAATCTCAAGAAGATGCAGGTATATTTACTTGTGTGATAATGGCAGTTCACGTTTCAACTGCAACAAAACTATTCATATTAGATCAACAAAACATGGGCAGAGTGGTATTAAAGTACTGCTACTCAGATATGAATAATGAAAAATTAAGACCAAGCTTTTTCAGTTCCAATACCAATTCCAATACTTTAAGTATCTGATTATCCACGAAATCAAGCAATAATGAGTGCAGAGGCTGAAAACAGCATTTATTTTCTTAAAACAAAAACACAATGAGAACAAAACTGATCCAAATTTGTTGTCAGCGGTTATTTAGCTCTCAACTAAATACTAAACTGAATTAAAACAGCTTTGTATAAATAAAATTTCAAACATTATGAGACTTTCTGGGACGATTACAACCAGTAAATACTGTAGTCTTATTACATCCATTTATCCATTTATGTCCAACCAGGATATCAGCTGAATTAATATTTGGACACCAATATCTAATCCAGCAAAGTAGCCTGAACACAGTATGTAAAGACTATGTTAAATTATACTTTAAATTTAAGGGTGTGGACTGCAGCATGCCCCTTCTGGGTATTTCAATATAAATCAATTAAATGTATTTCTAAAGTGCTTTTCATTTCTTCACACCCATCCACCTGTGGCTTTACATAGACAATATCATTCCTCATACTCACCCATAACTACCCAACTCCCTTTCAGCCAACTCACAGTCACATGTACACCCTCTCTCCCACCCTTTTAAGGAGAGGTGCTACTACAAAAACATATATGGATGCTCATGATCGTTTTTTCAAGTAATAATTTGACATTTTTCTTGTTCAGGACCAACTTCAAGCTCAGGACCTGACCAAGTTCCAGCCGTTGAAGCCTAAACTCTTGGAGGCAGTGGACGACATGCTGGCCAATGACATCGCCAGCCTCATGGTTCTGGTCCGCCAAGAGGAGACGCAGAAACCCAACCCAGTGGTCAAGGGCGGGGCTTTCGATGGGACTTTGGATGGTCCGTTTGGTCATGGGTACGGAGAGGGAGCGGGTGAAGGCATCGATGAAGCTGAGTGGGTAGTGGCTCGTGACAAACCTGCCTACGATGAGATTTTCTACACCCTGTCCCCTGTGAACGGGAAGGTCACTGGAGCCAATGCCAAGAAGGAAATGGTGAAGTCCAAACTGCCTAATACAGTACTAGGAAAAATCTGGAAGCTTGCGGATATTGATAAAGACGGGATGTTGGATGACGAGGAGTTTGCTCTGGCTAATCATCTCATTAAAGTAAAATTAGAGGGACATGAACTGCCCCCGGACCTGCCTGCGCATTTGGTCCCCCCATCCAAAAGGAAAATCCAAGAATAGATTCTACACTACATTATAGAGTATTAGCTTCATAGGACTGTCAGTGACTAGCCTGGTTAACCAAACTCTACTCACAACAGTTTCAGACGTAATCGTGTTGGGCTAAGCACAAGAAATGGTGAAACTGTAAGATGACTTGACATGGAAATTTTCTGTTTAGCATTCATTCTGTATTAAAACACTATTCAGTTAAAATCTACTTAAGGTAGACCACATGTTTCCAACAGCAGAAATACCTTTAATTTTCAAAAAAAAAAAAAAATTTCTGATATATTAAGATTTATTTGTTAAAAAAATAAAACTTTCAGATAACTTGTCAGGCTAGATCAATACCATTAGAATTATATAAATATATGTAGCATAATAGTTTAAATCCTCAACAATTATTAACAAATTTTACTTTGAAAATGTATCATTCTTGTAGATGAAAATTGCATTCCATCTTCTTTTTTCCAGATTTACCCTGTGAGACACTCTTATTACGAAGAAGCCTGTAATTACTGTTAAATAATGTAAACAGTAGTGTAGCCGTGATAACAACCTCACAGGGTGCCTTTTAAATCTAGTTTATTTTACTATTTCACCTCATGTTGAACTTAAAGAAATAGAGTTAAAGGCATAATAGATTTTATTAGGAGATACTTACAAGTAAATAAAAATTGGACTGAATTTAACTACTGAAAGGACAATGTGAACAATAACTACAGCATTATGATTCAAACATCTGTAAAATTATCAACTCATAAAAAACTGTGTACAATAATGTATGTATTAATGTAACTTTACTGACAACATTTTCAAAGATATGGCCTTGTGAATCAATGTATGAGAAAGACTGTTTCTGTAGCCAGTGCAAGAAATAAAACATCTCATTAATATGCTTTAAGAATGACTGTGATTATTGTCTTAATTGTGATAACATTTTAATGAGCAGTGTTTGTATTGCACATTTAAAAGTTTGGATGTTGTCATGTCATATTGTACTCTGTGGTTCTCAACTGGTCTGAGGGATTTTCAATATGTTACTTATTTACTATGCCTTATTTCTATATAACGTTTACAACATTTGACTTAATGTAAAACAAAGAAAGTATGTTAAAATAACCTTATGTTTCTGGCACACTTTAACTAACTGATCCTTTGAGAATCACTATTCCATCATATGTATGGTATTTATGTTACAAAAGTTAATGTGTTTGATTGGGTCACACTACATGATGTCTCTTGCCTTGAGTTAAATGTATAAATATGTAAACATGTAATAAATGTTGTATCCATAAGCCAGTATATGTCTGTATGTATTTCACATTAAGGTCTCAGCTTAACTGGATATCCACATAGTACATTAAAGGTCTTATATTACACAAAATTGACTTGAGCTTTTACATTCTCAAAAACTTACCTGGAGTTGTTTCATTCACACATGTTATTAGTCTGCTTATTAGCTCAAAATGCTCTTACTTACATCTAATGTCAGGTAGCATATTTAAGTGGTAGCCTATGCAGGGTTTGGGTGTTAAATAAAACTTGTGTGAATGAAACAACACACAACTCCAGGTATGTTTGTGGTGAGGAAATAATATTAAAATACAGATCAGAAAATAGTGTAATATGGGCCCTTTAAAGGTGCAGTCTGTAACTTTTCTGACTGAATTCATCGCCTGCTAGTCTCCTTATTGTTTTGCCTGGATATTTCCACAGTACAAAATTAGACTTATCTATCTTACATTTTATCAATCACATGTGTTTTTACTTTGAAAAAGGTCTTACTGTCAGTGTGCTCACCTCTCCACAGATCTGACCTGTAACATGGCCATATAGCATCACCTCCTGCTTGTTGTCATGAAGATAGGTAAGTTTTATGTCACACTGTGGAATATTCCAGACAAAGCAATGACATCTCCATGGAGTGTGCTGGATCCTCCACTAGAAAAGTTACAAGTGCACCGTTAAATTCTACTAGGAAATCACTTTTTCCCACCAAATGTTTGTGTATCCTGAGATCACGTACATATGGGTGCATTTAACAATGGCCACACACAGAGACTGGTAAACTGGAAAACAGTAAGATTTCTTTTTTTCTTTCTTTCTTTCTTTCTTTCTTTTTCAAAGATGTAACACTTCTGTCGGATCTGTCGGAATACCACAAAATCTAATAAAAGTTCATTTATTCTGCTTCAGTTGTGGATGGTCATTTATTTGAACTAAAATACCAGCATTAGAATACGTGGCAACACTTTACCAAAAATAAGTATAACATGCTAGAACTGCATTCTCTTAATTATTAAGAGTGGAATGGTTAAAGGTGCACTGTGCAACTTTTCTGGTGGAGGTTCCACTACCTACTTGTCTCCATGGAGAAGTTATTGCTTTGCCTGGAATGTTCCATAACAATGAAAATATCCATCTAGCATTTATTCATCATGGGTGTTTCTATTGCTCAAAAATACATTAATTATTTAATTAATCATTGCATGTATATAGCACTTTTCAAGACACCCAAAGTGCTTTACAGTGCATTATTCGTTCACTCCACATTCAGTGGTGGTAAGATACTATTGCTATTACTATTACATAACATGTAATTAAAATGTTTATTCATTACTTAATTTATTTTTCCTCTTCTTATCCCTGTTAGTGCAGATAGAGGAAAAGAAGGAATTTAACAGTAGCAGTGCCCTGAACACTGAAATATATGTTTTTGATCACTTTTTATCAGCTGGTAGGATGGTAAGTTATCAGCTCCTTGCAGCTTGGGTGTGGTTAAGATAACATGAAGTCACATGTAACAAGCGATCACTATCATAATGCTAACTTGCCCTTAAAAGTTTTTTTTTTTTACAATTTATATGATTCTTGTTTGATATGAATGTTATTTATGCATTTTTCAACAGATCTGAACACATTTATGCCATTTTATCAGTGACTGATTCCATTACACGAAATAGCAAAATCATGACATGTTTGAAATCTATTGCTTGGCTCATCCGCTTGTACATACTCCACATTATTGCATTATCAGGAGGTTTCTACACATGTACACGACTCGGTGTGTATGTGTGTGTGTGTGTGTGTGTGTGTGTGTGTGTGCGTGTGTGTGTGCATGTGTGCATGTGTGCATGTGTGCAGATCTCATCCTCTTAGACTATAAGTAGCTGTAGTAGTAGTAGTCTAGTAGTAATAGTAGTAGACACATGTACATGACACCTCTGTATTTGTGTGTGCACATGTATGTGTGTGTGACAGGATATGAGTGCAGGCCTCATCCCCTCAGACTATAACTAAAGCACATTTACAAACTAAAATCTCTCACAGGAAGTGGGGTTCATGTCTGCTGCTTCCTCTGTGTCCCACCCTGAGCCCCGCTCGCACTTTCACACACAGATCATTAGGGGCTATGTGAGGATCATAATATTTTGGACATATTATACAGACATGTCAGTTTTACAGCTATATTATAGATAATTATTATTCTTCAGTGTACAGAGAATGTGGATTTTATGGTTAGGGTTAGGGCAATGTTAACCCTGAGCTTAGAAACAACAATTTAGGCATTTACAGAGCGTAATGACATAAAAGTGCACTGTGTAACTTTTTTCTGGTGGAGTCAGTCACCTGCTTGTCTCCATGAAGGTTATTAGTATTAGACTTGGAGACATGAAAGTGATGCCAGATTACAGGCCAGATGTGTGAAGAGGTGACCGTGTGGAGGAAAACATTAGTAATTGAACAAATGCAAGATTAATATGTTTAATGCCATTCTGGATAACATAATATCTCACATATTATGACATAATGAACATTTAAACATAGCCAACAAACTTAATCAATAACATCTTGGAAGTCAGATGAACCTAAAAACTGTATGGCTTAGACTAGGGGTTCCAAACTGTGGGCCATCTGGTACTGGGCCTCTCAAGAAAATAGTATATGTTTTTAAAAGGAGCTTTAGTTTTGTACATTTTTCCTTACGACCTCTTGTATACAGCTGATATTTCTATATTTTATTTTTACTTGTACATATACATTTATATAATTATACCTTCTTAGACAGTTTCTTGCTATTTTTGCTACTTATTAAGAATTTGTTATATCATTCATATTCTTTTTTCTTTGTTATTATAATATATTGTGATGTGCTGTGTCCAAATAATTTCCCTTGTGGATCAATGAAGTTTGTGTAAGTCTACTTCTTCTCCATCATATCTATGTGAAACTATACTGCTATGCTTAACCTGGTAAACAGCAGACAGGAGTATTCAGACCTTTTTTTGAAGGTATGGTTAAGAGTTGTATACAGATTGCTCTATTATTACTGGCCCTGCCTCCCTCTACCAGTCCCTGAAAAATGTTTATGCTTATTACCAGTCCAAAAGAGTTGGGTTTTCTGGCTTAGACCATGTTTCAAAATGGTCAGAGCACATTGACTGGTAAATGGTATTAGTAATATGAAACACCAATCCTCTAGTCTAGGTACTAAACAGTCTTTTTTTGTATATATTCCTATTCCATTTTTAATCTTAAATGGTAAGATAAGTGATATGTTTTTACTTATCTTTAATGTGACATTTTTGCTTACCCTTACTTCACCCAGAGACACTCAAAGTTAAGTAGAAAAACAAACTGTGGTACAAACAGGACAACTATTTTAAGTACAGTATTTAGGTATTTCCTGGAAGGTGAAATCTTAAGCATTAAGTCAAAGCAGTGGCACAAAACAAATCAGGAAAGAACAAAACCCACCCAAAATTATATCTGTTTGAATCCACTTTTGACATGATTTAACGCTAACCAAATAAAGAACTTTTTTTGTCCTATGTTATGTACTGGGCGTTTTTTGTCAGCTGTCCTTGTTATTTTAAATAGATGCGATAGATGGGTGTGTAGAGACGCACAAGGAAGCTATACATCACAATATGATACACATACACCCCAAAGCATCATGGGAACTGTAATCGTAGAAGACTGGGTGGACATTATGCAAGCAGGACTCACATTTTTCAAGTCACAAAATGTCAAAATAAATGAATGTATGTTGCACCATACGGCCAAAGCTCCTAGTTTGTGAATATTTTTCACTGGAATTGGCATTAAAACTTTTCTGATTCTGATGTAAGAGGATTTCTATAAAGGTAAATTTAAAATGTATTCTAATTCTAATCTAGTAGTACCCTAGTAGTAATTGTAGTCTGGTAGTAATAGTAATAGTAATAGTAGTAATAGTAGTAGTTGTTGTAGTAGTGGTTGAGGTAGTAGTTGTGGAGGTGGTAATTGTTGTAGTTGTAGTAGTGGTAGTAGTAGTATAGGAGTAGTAGTATTAGTAGCAGCAGCAACAGTAGCAGCAAAAGTAGTAGTAATCTGTCTTGTAGAAATAGTAGCAGCTGTAGCAATTCAAATAGTAATAGTAGTAATAGTCAAATAGTAACAATAGCTATTGCCATAAAGATGTAATACTGTAGAGATGTAATACTTCTGGTAAACTAGATAACACAGTAGCCTAAAGCCGAGGGCCCATGTCTGACTAACAACCTAAACCTTGGGCGTGCGGAGGGAGGAGCAGTCACAAGGTCGCACTTTACACCTAAATGTTAATTGGCCTTTGTCGCCGTGGTGACATGTGTGAGAGCAGGTCATGATCATCAGAGACAGTGACTCACATGTTATTGGCATTATCATAGATCTGTAAAGAGATACATCTGCATTTACATTAATGACAACTTTGAGTATTTATTGGGTGTGGTCTTTAGTCACTCAAATGTCTGAAGTAGGTGGGATAAGAGCTTATAGGCATTTTTTGGAAACTTGACAAAGGTAATCCTGTGGTTTTGTTAGAGATCATACTAAGACTATTCAGGAAAGGTATTTTTCCCTATTTGTATAATTTCTTTTTCAGGATAAATACTGTTCAAATGAGTATGAGTTTGGTATCTCTGACATCCACTGGGTATTTTGACAGTTGACAGTTGCTGCTTGTCTCCATGAAAATGTTGTTGCTTTGGAATGTTTCATAGCATAGACTGATCAGATAAGCAGGTTACAGCACTACCTTACACAACAATTCAGATCTGTGGAGAGTCACCCCTATTCACAGAAGGAATGAATGCATTTTTGAGCAATAGAAACACATGTAATGAATAAATGCTAGATGGATATGTTTAATGACATACCAGGAACATTCCATGCAAAGCAATAACATATCCATGGAGACAAGCAGGTAGTGGTACCCTACACGAGAAAAGTTGCGCAGTGCATCTTTAAAAACTTTTGTTCACTTTTTCA